CTTGGCACCCTTGTGTGTGAACTATCTCTGCCGTTCTCTTGCTTGTGTGAGTACCGTGCCGCTGGCCCTCGGTGTCCATGGGCTCCACCTGCATGGAGTTCAGCTGGGGGCGGGGGAGTGGGGTTGTGTCTGAATTGAGTTTGTACAGACTTTCTTTGTTATGGCATTACTCCCTGAAGAGTATGGCGTAACAGTTCTTTACCTGGTGTTACATTGTTTATTGTAAGTGATCTAGAAATGATTTAAGGTGCACAGGAGGATGTGCTTGGCTTATGGGCAAATAAGGGCATCTTTAAAATTTTTATTTTGAAAGAGAGGGAGAGCTTTCATCACTGATGAACTTCCCAAATGCCTGCAAAGGCTGAGGCTGGGCCAAGCCAAAACTGGGATCCAGGAACTGAATTTAGGTCTCCAAGGATAGCAGGGTCCCAGCTGCTTGAATCACCTGTTGCCTCCCGAGAGCCACACTAGGAAGAATGAAATCAGAAGCAGAGCTGGCACTGTAACCCAGACACTCTGATAGGGGATGTGTGTGTCTCTAACCAGGGTCTTACGTGAGGGAGGGGCTGCTAGTGTTTGTGTCGGAGGTGTTAGGCCTCAGCAGACAAGGCTGAGAAGGATCCTACATTGGAGAAGCTTGTAGGTGAGGTTAGGAGGGGTGGCCAGACGCTTAGCCTGGCTGGGAGCTGGGGAGGGGGTTGGGAGGAGACAGTTGGCAAGTTAAATTCCTCCCCCAGACAGTAAGGAAGGGTTTTGCAGGCTAAACTAAGGACTCTGGATTATATCTTAAGTGGGCTTACAACTCGATTAGAGCTGCGTTTGAGGCAGGTGGTTTTGAGAGGACAGAGAAGTGCAGGGTCCTGGCTACAGGGGCAGTGACGAGGAGGCCTAGACAAAGGACAGCTGCAGCACTGGAGGGGAAGGGATTGCTCTGAGAGGCAGCTAGGGAACTGAATTATGGACGGTGAATGTTAGAAGACGGTAGTGTGGCTCAGCCCCTCCACAGCTTCTTGGGTGTGGTGGAGGTGAAGAAAATGAAATTAATTAATTTTTTTTTTTTAACAGGCAGAGTGGACAGTGAGAGAGAGAGACAGAGAGAAAGGTCTTCCTTTTGCTGTTGGTTCACCCTCCAGTGGCCGCCGCGGCTGGCGCACCACGCTGATCCGATGGCAGGAGCCAGGTACTTATCCTGGTCTCCCATGGGGTGCAGGGCCCAAGCACTTGGGCCATCCTCCACTGCACTCCCTGGCCACAGCAGAGAGCTGGCCTGGAAGAGGGGCAACCGGGACAGAATCCGGCACCCCGATCGGGACTAGAACCCGGTGTGCCGGCGCCGCAAGGCGGAGGATTAGCCTAGTGAGCCGTGGCGCCGGCCTAATTCTTTTTTTTTTTTATTCATTTATTTGAGAGGCAGAGTTACAGACAGAGGGGGAGAGACAGAGAGAGATGTCTTCCATTTGCTGGTTTACTCCCAAATGACCACAGTGGCCAGAGCTGTGCCGATCCGAAGCCAGGAACTTCTTCCGGGTCTCCCATGTGGGTGCAGGGGCCCAAGCACTCAAGCTGTCTTCCACTGTTTTCCTAGGCCATAGCAGAGAGCTGGATCAGAAGAGGAGCAGCAGAGACATGAACGGCCACCCATATCGGGTGCCAGCACTGCAGGCGGAGGCTTAGCCTACTATGCCACAGCACAGGCCCCAGGAATTAGATACTTTTTTTTTTTTAAGAGATTTATTTATTTATTTGAAAGAGTTACAGAGAGAGAGAGAGAGGTCTTCCATCCGATGGTTCACTCCGCAGTTGGCCACAACGGCCAGAGCTGCACTGATCCGAAGCCAGAAGCCAAAAGCTTCTTCCAGGTCTTCCACATGGGCGCAGGGCCCAAGGACTTGGGCCATCTTGCACTGCTTTCCCAGGCCACAGCAGAGAGCTGGATGGGAAGTGGAGCAGCGGGTCTCGAACCAGCACCCATATGGGATGCCGGCACTTCAGGCCAGGGTCTTAACCCACTGCGCCACAGCGCCGGCTCCAAGAAATGAAATGCTTTCTAAAACCACAATCCCTTTCTATAAGAAGTATATTTTAATAGAAAAAGGATCATGATCTCAGAGTAACGTTTGGTGCTTTACACTTGGTCTGTGAAGGACTCGGTCCCACCTTTGTCTTTTCCATGGAGACTGGTTCCCAGACCCACACTGAAGGATCTGATGGAGTCTGACCCCCGTCCTTTTGCAGAAAAGAAACCAGTGCCAAAGTCACAAAGCTTCATCTTGTCAGACTTGTGACCAGGTCCAATTCTTTTTTAATTTTTCAATACCCAGAGCTGGGCAGGGCCAGGCCGAGGCCAAGGGCCTGGAACTGAATCCAGGTCTCCCACATGGGTGACAAGGACCCAAATACTAGAGCCATTATCCTACTGCTTTCCAAGGTCTGCGTTAGCAGGAAGCTAACAGGACTTGAACCAGGCACTCTGATCTGGGGTGTGGGCATTCCAAGCAGCAGGTCTGAGTGCTACCCCAAATGCCTGCCCCTGGAATCCAGTTCTTGACAGGTGCTCCGGTATTTCTTCTGTGGTCCTGTACTCGTACTGTGCTCTTCCCATCTGAATTTGGTTTGCCGTTTATGAAGTACCGCTTTTTTTTATTTTTTTTTTTTTTTGACAGGCAGAGTGAGAGAGAGACAGAGAGAAAGGTCTTCCTTTGCCGTTGGTTCACCTCCAATGGCCGCCGCTGCAGCCGGCGCACCGCGCTGATCCTGGCAGGAGCCAGGAGCCAGGTGCTTTTCCTGGTCTCCCATGGGGTGCAGGGCCCAAGCACCTGGGCCATCCTCCACTGCACTCCCTGGCCATAGCAGAGAGCTGGCCTGGAAGAGGGGCAACCGGGACAGAATCCGGCGCCCCAACCGGGACTAGAACCCGGTGTGCCGGCGCCGCAAGGTGGAGGATTAGCCTATTGAGCCGCGGCGCCGGCTGAAGTACCGCTTTTGATTCTAAAGATTAATATCAGCCAAGTTAGCGTCTAGGTTTCAGAGCAGTAGAGACGTGAGCAAACCATAGCTTAGGTCATGAATAGGCACGTAAGTGGCAGCCAAAAAGTCCCTGACTCTCTGCTTCACTTGTTTATTACACTAGGTTGCTCATCCCAAGGTAGGTGATGTCTAGTGTCGGTGCTGCGCTGAGCAGCGGCTCCACGGGTATCAGGTGGCCCGTGCAGGTCTGTTTCTCACTACTGAGGATGGATGCAGATTCTGAAATACTAAGCTAAAGGTGCTGCTTCGTGCTAGGAAGACAGCCAGTTAAAATTCAGAAGGATTTCCCCTCCACAGCTGTGAATGCGTCTTCTGAGCTTGGCTGTCACACACCAGTGTGGACGGCATAGTCCTGGGGTCTGGCCGTGAACCACAGGCGCGGGCGCTCCTAGGCATCCTGCTTTGGAGGACCTGGGTTCCAGTCTCAGCGCTGGCTCTGGACTCCAGTTTCCTGCGAATGTGCAACCTGGAAGGCAGCAGTGAGGCTCATGTGGTTAGGTTTCTGCCACCCGCTTGAGGAACCTGAGCTTGAGTTCGTGGTTCTGGCTTTGGGCTCGGCTTGGCCCGGGCATTGTTGCTGTTTGGCAGAGAGACAGTAGATGGGAGCTCTGTATCTGCCTCATAAATAAATTTAATAAAAATAGTTGCCGGCTACAGGAAGCATATTTGTGCCTTGAGATGTACAGAACATTAACAATGCCCAGCTTGTGAATTGAACAGCTGTGCTGTGTCAGTGTGCAGCTTAGGCTTGTGAGCGTGTGAAACACCCAGGAAGTCTTCGTCCGAGAGACAGAGGCGGGCGAGTCGAGGAGAACACTGTGGAAGAGCTGGGCGTCCCTGTGAGGAGCAGGTCCCGTCCTGCACCTGTGTGCGTGCTGAGTGGAGAAGAGAGGAATGGGTGGACTCAGAAATTGGGAAAAGGCATTTTTCATTTCCAAATTTATTTATTTGAAAGGCAGACTTAGGGAGAGACAGAGAGAGATCCTCCTTCCTCTGGTTCATTCTCCATATAGCCCCAACGGCCAGGGCTGGGCTAGGCCAAAACCAGGAGCCAAGAGCTTCATCCGGGTCTCCCCTGTGGGTGCAGGGGCCCAAGCACTTGGGCCATCCTCTGCTGCTTTCCTAGTTGCAGTAACAGGAAGGCAGATGGGAAGTGGAGCCAGCCAGGTTTCAGATAGGAGCTCATATGGGATGCCAGCACCCCAGGTGGCAGCTTTATGTGCTACCGGCCCCAAAGGAGCTTCATTTTAGATGATGGGGTGGCTTGCCAAGTCTTTTATCTTTTCACCACAGTGGGGATGTCGTTAAGAGATTTTTTGTGACTGACAGAGCGGTGGGGCATTCTGTGCCGTGGATGGTGCTGAGTGCGTGTATTGGGGATGCTGACGCTGGAGAAGCTCAGAGGGCCGGATGGATTCCTGGGCAGTGTCGTTGGGCTTGGCGTGTCCTGCAGATATCACTAAGCTAGGGTAGTCACCTCACAGATTAAAAATGTTAGCAAGAGCAACAGGCAAGCTTTCAAGGGCCCTCTTTCTTTCCCCTTTGCCACGTGTCAGCTGGAGAAGCTGGGAAGCTCCTCACTGTAGTAGTTGATGCCGTTTGTTGCAATAATCGGTGTTTTAAAATTAGGCCACTGTATAGTATACTAGGGCTGAGGAGTTAAAATGCAGCACTTAGTATTTTTGCAGTGTGTGGCTGTGTAATTAGTATTAGGAATGATACCTTTTGAACAGAAAACTGCAGGAGGGAGGGGTTATGTTTGTGTTTTACAACTGGAGGTTAATTTTCAACTTAGCAGGACCAACTTAGTTAAAATGTTCTTTGAGTTTCTTTTTCAGTTAAACCTTGTTCACTGAAGGGTGTGTGTGTGAGAGCTGCCCAGTGGTCGTCTAATGGGATGAGTAGCCCCGTTGGTCCTGCACCCGGGCAGCGGCGTGGGAGTTGATTGCCTGTCCTCGCTGTGGGTTCTGCAGGTTGGGGAGCACATCCCTGAGCATGAGCGCAGAATGAAGCGGCGTTTGGATGACCCCGAGTCACCGGTGTACGCGGCCCAGCAGCGTCGGCTCCCTGGCAGCACGGAGGCTTTCCCACACCAGCACCGCGTGCTCGCGCCCGCCCCTCCGGTGTACGAGGCAGTGTCCGAGACCATGCAGTCAGCCACGGGCATCCAGTACTCAGTGACCCCCAGCTACCAGGTAAGGCGGGCGGAGGGCGGAGGGCGGGTGGTGATGCCATCCGGTTAGAGATTTATTCTTTGTTAAGCAGTGAGTTTGATGCACACAAAGTATATGGGATATGTGAGGGTATAAAAAATAATACAGGAACACAGTACACTTGTGTGCTTCCCTCCTGTCGCTGTGAGTCCCCCAGAGGTCGGAATCTGAGCTGGGTGCTATGTTCTCATTCATTACCTTTTGTTTCCCACAGTTTCGTTCCATCTGAATAGCATGGTAGTTGAGTTTGGGTATTTTTGAAATCGTATCTAAAGGGGGTGTGCAATGCTTTCTTGACTCCCCTATTCACTCCTCTTTGTTCCTAAGACCCATCATTTTTCCATTCAGTTTCACTTTGCTGTAAATTTTACAAATATACGGTTTATGAATGGTTCTACCATTGGACAGTTGGACTGTTTTGTGGTTTTCACCAGATACTTCTGTGAACATTCTTAACTCATTTCTCATTGTGCAGAACTATTCATAGTGAAAATGTATGACGCAGCATGGAGCTTACCCCAGGGTTTAGATCTGTATACTTTTTATCAAGAGACTTGTGCCATGAGGGCACAGGGACAGCTGAACTGGACTTGTTGGTTTCCATCTGACGTAAACTCTGTGTTATCACAGCCCACTGGGCAGGTTTGAGGACATGAGAGAAAAAGTGCTTTGAGTATTTGAGAGAGGGTAGCTGGGCCAGAGAAACACACCCTTTTTCTTTTTGTTTTAAAGATTTATTTATTTGAAAGACAGAGAGAAAAAGTCCGTCTTTCCATCTGCCGGTTCACTCCCCCAATGGCCGCAATAGCCAGGCCTGGGCCAGGCCAAGCCAGGAGAGCAGAACTCCATTTGGGTCTCCCATGTGGGTGGCAGGGCCCATCACTTGGAACACCCTCTGCTGCCTGCCCAGGCACGTTTGTAGCAAGGGAGCTGGATTGGAAGTAAGACAGCAGGGACTTGAGCAGGAACTCATAAGGGATGCTGGCATTGCAGGCAGCAGCTTAAACTGCTGTGCCACTGTGCTGGCCCCAAGAGGATGCCTTTTCAGAGGGGTCCCAATACAGATTTTTTAAAATGTATTTGGAAGGCGGAGAGGGAGAGGGAGAGGGAGAGGGAGAGGGAGAGAGAGAGAGAGAGAGAGAGAGATCTTCCATCTTGCTGGTTTATTCGACAAAAGGCTACAACAGCCAGGGCTGGGTTGGGCTGAAGCCAAGAGCTGGGAACTCCATCTGGGTCAGCCATATGGATGACAGGGGCCCAAGTGCTTGGGCCATCATCTGTTGCCTTCTCGGGTGCATTAGCAGGAAGCTGAATCACAAATGGAGCAGCTGAGATGGGAACTGGCACTTTGATATGAGATGTGGGTGTCCCAAGAGGTGCCACAGTGCCTGCCTCGCCATGTTTTTTTAAGAAAAGGATGTAAGATGACTTTTTCCTCTGATCTCTCAGACTTTCTCCCTCTGGTTTATTTCTTGGATATCCAAAAATATCTGTACCTACCTAGCTAGCTATCAAAATGCACTTTAAGACTTACTATTTATTTATTTACTTGAAAGAGTTAAGGGAGAGACAGATGCAGAGACAGACGGAGATCTTCTATCCGCTGGTTCACTCCCCAGATGGCCACGAGGACCAGAACTGGACCAATCTGAAGCCAGAGCTTCTTCCAGGTCTTCCACGTGGGTGCAGGGGCCCAAGCATTTCGGCTGTCTTCCACTGCTTTCCCAGGTGTATCAGCAGGGAGCTGGATTGGAAGTGGAGCAGCCAGGACTCCAATCGGCACGCATACGGGATGCCAGCGCTGCAGGTGGCAGCTTTACCCACTATGCCATGGCAATGGCCCCTTTAAATGCGTTTTTTATGCAATTTGGAGCAAATACTATGAACTGTTCTGCTGTTTTCTCTTTTTACCTAACATAGAAGGGTCAGCCTTTTCTTTCTTCTTTTTCTTTTTTAAGGTTATTTGTTTATTTATTTGAAAGTCAGAATTAAACGGAAGAAGAGACTGAGAGAGAGAGAAAATCTTCATTTGCTGTTTTACTCCCCAAATGGCTGGGGCTGGGCCAGGCTGAAGCTAAGAGCCAGGAGCTTCTTCCAGGTCTCCCACATGGGTGCAGGGTCCCAAGCACTTGGGCCATCTTTTCCTGCTTTCCTAGCTGCTTTAGCAGGGAGCCTGATGGGAAGTGGAGCAGCCAGAACTTGAACCCGCACCCACATGGAATGCCAGTGCCACAGGCAGTGGCTTTACCCACTATACCACAGCGCTGGCCCAGGGTCACTTTTCTACTTGAACATTGATCTGGGTAGAACTAAATAATTTTTAAAAAAATCACTGCATTGGGACGGGCATTGTGTTGCGTGGTTTAAACTGCCACTCGGGGTCCAAGTGCTGGTTCATGTCCCAGCTATCTCACTTCTTTCTTCTTCCTCCCTCCCTCCCTTCCTTCCTATTTACTTGAAAGAGTTACAGAGAGGGGAAATGACAGAGATAGATCTTCCACCCACTACTTCACTTCCCAGATGGCCACAATAGCCAGGGCTGGGCCAGTCCAAGGCCAGGAGCCAAAAGTTTCGTCCAGGTCTCCCATGTGCGTAGCAGGGGCCCAAGTACTTGGGCCATGGTTTGCTGCTTTTTGCAGGCTATTAGCTGGCAGCTAGATTGGAAGCGGAGCAGCTGGAAAACGAGCTGGTGCTCACAAGGGGTGCTGGTGTCACAGACGGCAACTTTACCTGCAGCTGCCCGCCTCGCCAACTGATCCACTTCTGATGATGCGTTCGTGGGGGGCAGCAGAGGATGGCAAGGGCTTGGTCCTCTGCCATCTGCTTGGGAGATCTGGATTCATGTTTGGGCTACTGGCTTTAGCCTGGCCCAGACCCGCTGCTGTGGGCATTTGGGGAATAAACTAGGGATGGAAAATCTCTCCATCTCTTTCTCTCTCTGTCACTCTGCCTTTCAAGTAGGTGAACATAAATAAACATTAAAATTTTTTAACCTAATAAAATTTTCACTGTTATTTTTAAGGGCTGCATATATAATGTTCCGTTCCAGGTCCATCTGAACCATAATTTGTTCAACTGGTCTGGAAAGACTTTCTGCATCCTCACTTGTTAGTGACCCTTGGAGTGTGTGTCTGGGAGCAGGCTGGGGTGCCTGCACGCCAGATTGGAGTGCCAGCTCCAGCTCCTGTCTCCAGCTTCCTGCCAGTGCAGACCCTGGGAGGCAGTGGTGTTGGCCAAGACCCACCCGCGAGCCTGCACTGAGTTCCTGCTTCCTGACGGTGGCGCAGGGTTTAGCATCTTTTCATCATACTGCTGTGTGAAGTGCTTTATATATGTATGTTAAAAAAAATTCTCATACTATTCATGAATACATTCAACTTCTGGGTTTTGCGTGTTTCTTTCATGTTAAAATATATGCATCTGGGAGCCAGTGTTGTGGCATAGAATGTTAAGCCACTGCTTGTGACACCAGCATCACATGGGCGCCAGTTCAAGACCCGGCTGCTCCACTTCCAGTCCAGCTCTCTGCTAATGTACCTGGGAAAGCAGCAGAAGCCCCTGCACCCATGTGGAAGACCTAAAAAAAAACTCCTGGCTCCTGCTTTGGCCTGGCACAGCCCTGGCCATTGTGGCCATTTGGGAATGAACCAGCAGATGGGGGATATAAGTAGTGAGCTGTGATGCATTGAAATTTAAGAAGGAGCCAGACTTGGGGCTGGTGTTTGGTTACGGCACTGCTCAGCCCACACCAGCGTTCCTGAATCTGAGTCCTGGCTTCGCCTCCAGTTCCATGTCCCTGCTGATGCACAGCCTGGGAGGCAGCACTGATGGCCCAGATGGCTGAGTCTCTGGCTCCAGGCTTTGGCTTTGCATGGTCCTGGCTATTGCAGACATTTAGGGAGTGAACCAGTGGGTGTAATATCTCTTTCTCTGTGTCTCTCTGCCTTTCAAATGAATGAAAACTAAAAGTTTTTAAAAAGAAAAGCTAATCCTTTATCACATATAGTTTGAGAAACACTAAGCTATACAATTTTTGTTTCTTTAATTTTGAGAGCGAGAGAAAGTGAGCTTCCATTCACTGGTTCACCTCCCAGATGTCTTAATAACTGTGTCTGGGTGAAGCTGGGAACACACCCTGGGTCTCCTGTGTGGGTGGCAAGAATCCAACTACTTGAGCCATCACCAGTGCATCTCAGGATCTGCATTAGCAGGGAGCTGGATTCAGGAGCTAAAGGCAACTGTCAAACTCAGTCACCTCCAATATAAAATATGGGTGCCCTACCTGGTAGTTTAATCTCTAGACCAAATGCCTATCACCCACCCCCCACCGTTGAAATGGGGTGGGATGTAGTTTATTTTACTAGTTTTCTTTTATGGAAAATTGGAGCTTCTAAGTAATTATTTTTTTTAAAGATTTACTTATTTATTTGAAAGACAGAGTTACAGAGAGGCAGAGAGAGAGAGAGAGAAGTCTTCCATCTACTGATTCACTCCCCAAATGGCTGCAATGCTGGAGCTGGGCTGATCCAAAGCCAGGAGCTTCTTCTGGGTTTCCCACGTGGGTGCAGGGACCCAAGGACTTGGGCCACCTTCTGCTACTTCCCCAGGCCATAGCAGAGAGCTGGATTGGAAGTGGAGCAGCTGCTTTACCGACTATGCCCTGGCCCCTAAGTGATTGTCTTTGTACAAGAGAAATACACGTGCTTTGTGCGTTTGTGTTGCTTTTCTGGAGCGTGCGCGGGAATGTACAGACCTTGAAGTTTCTCCTCTGCATTTTGTGCTGCGCAGGTGTCAGCTGTGCCGCAGAGCTCTGGAAGTCACGGGCCCGCCATCGCAGCGGTGCACAGCAGCCACCATCACCCTGCAGCTGTACAGCCCCATGGAGGCCAGGTGGTGCAGAGTCACACGCACCCAGCCCCGCCCGTCGCACCAGTGCAGGGGCAGCAGCAGTTTCAGAGGCTCAAGGTGGTATTCAGCTCCTCTCCTCAGGTTAAAAGGTGGTCTCCAGCGGGGGTGCGGGCTGCGTCCTGTGAGTCGTAGTGTTGCACACAGTGACGGGGGTCCAACCACAAGAAGTTCTACTTTGTTCTTGTTTTAAAACCTGCATTTGCTTCCCATCTTGGCACTGGTGCCTGGTCCAGAGAAGACGACACTGGAGAAGTGTGTAGAGTGTGTGAATGCTTGGTTCTCATCGCATCAGGGTGAGGGGCTCTGTGTTGACAAAGTTAACCTTCTGCTTTCTGTTGAACTCTTAGTTCTTAGAATCCTGTGTAAGGTTTTATTGAGGGCAAACTTGACTGCCTATACACCTCTAGAGTAAGTTAGCCCGGTGATAAATCGTATGACTGAATCTTTTCCCCTGTTTAAGGATGGTTGAATTGGCTGGCTGTCAAGTCCCTCAGTAGTAAAACACATGCCCTTTTTGGAGGAACCTTCATGACAGCGTGAGTGAACTGCGGGTGCCCTCGTCTGCTGAGGGCTCCACGTTAGGGTTCCTTCCCGCGGGGTCTGCAGAAGGGACGCAGCTCCCGCTGCTCGCGTGTCTGCTCACTGCCTGCTGTGTTTCAAAATGTGTGGTTGTCACAGTGTTCTGGTTCCTGTTTATCCAGTTTTTTGTTCGTATAAACTTTTAAATTGAGTGCAGGAAATGCAATTTATTAAAGAACTATAAGGAGACGGTAGGGTTCTCCTTATAGAACTGGCAGGTGGGAACGGGCTTCACACCTGAAGCAGCACACCCTGTGTGTTGGCCATAGTATTCCCACTTCTGCTTTCCTGACGCAGTAGTCCTCGGTTACCCGAACTTTCAGTTACCCACTGTCAGCCATGGCCTGAAAATACTAACTGGGAAATTCTAGAAATAAGCAGTTCATCAATGTCGCTCCCCCTCTTCGTGGAGGAACGACACTGAACCCTGCCTAGGCTTCATATCCGAGTCACGACACCATTATGTCGCTCCCCCTCTTCGTGGAGGAACGACACAGGACCCTGCGCTGTTCTTTCGTCTGCTCGGCCCTCCCCGGGTTTGCTGCTGGTTCTTCCCGGGTTGGCTACTGTCCCTTCCACCTCCGTGGAAGGGCGGTTCCCCCTGCCACATTCCCCACTTCCGCAGGGGAGCGGCACACCGCCGGCCGGCTCTCTCGGGGGCTGCACAGGTGTTCCCTTAGATGTTCCCCTTAAATGTTCCCCTTAGATGTTCCTGGTGCATGCCGTCTCTCTCTTCCTTTATAGTCCTCCTCCGCCAATCCCAACTCGGCTGCCCACACGCCGAGTATGCTGCTCTCCTCCAATCAGGAGCAAGTCCTACAGTTTATTGGCTGAACTGGAGGCAGCTGTGTAGAAGCTGTTTTCTTCTCTCCCAGCGCCATATTGTGGGAGAGCAGATGCATAGAATAAGTCTTAATTCCAGTAACTCAGTCCAGTCCGGGTTGCTCCCCACAATCAATTTTAAATGTATGAGCTGTTCTAAGTAGTGTGAGGAAGTCATTCCTCATTCCAGCACCTCCATTGTCAGGGCAACGTCACTGCCCAGAGTGCTTGCCCTCAGGTCCCCAAAGCACAAGGGAGTGGTGCTGTGCCCGAGTAGGGAAAGCTGAGCGTCTGACTTCCTGGGGAAGAGGTGGTCTGCCAAAGTTGCTAGGATCCACGGTAAGTTATTGTTGATCTCGGCCTGTGCCTAGTTTGTAAATTAGACCTTATGGTGGGGGTGTGTGTAGATCAGCTTTGGTCACTAGAACAAATACTTGAGAGAAGCTGTTTCATGCAGGAAGGTACATTGTGGCCCACAGTTCTGAAGGTTCACGGTCTCGGGTCAGCAGCCCCACTGTGGAGCGCGTGCGGAGGAAGGGCTGTATCCAGCCACCCCTCTGGAGAACCACCGCTGAGGGCTTGTGCCCAGTGGCCTACGAACCTCCTCAACATGATGATGGGTCACTCTTCACCTTCTCCCAGCTGTGCCACCCTGGGATCAAGCCTTTAACACCTGCGCCTTGGGTGGGCATCCAAACTAATACTCGATCAGCAGTGATTTGCGTAGGAAAATGTGTATAGGTTGGGAAGTCTCTGTGCTTTCAGACATCTTATTAGAAGTCTTGGAACTTGTTCCTTAAGGATAAAGAGGACTAGTTCTCCCTGGTCCCTGTCTTCACTGGTTGGGTTCTCAGGAATTGGTTTAATATGAATTTAAGAACATGAAATGCTACAGAAGACAGAGAATCTTCACAATGCTTATTACGAGAATACGGTACACCAGATAGTATTTCCACTTACTTTTTAAGATTTATTCATTTAAAAGGCAGAGGACAGGGAGGAGGAGAGCTTGTCCATCCTCTGGGTCACTCCAAGTAGCTGCAGTGGCAAATGCTCCAAGCCACAACCAGGAGCCAGACACTGCATCCAGGTCTCCCACGGCGGTGGGAGGTGTCCTGCTGCCTTCTCGGCTGGACCCCAAGTGGAGTGGCTGCGACTCGACGAGAGGCACCCTCATGTGGGATGCCAGCGCCACAGCCGGCAGCTTACCTGTCGGGGCCACAGCTCCACCCCCGATTCCGTTCTTGCGTGAACTTTCTCGAAGTACCTCAGCATCATAAAGCGTGCCAAAGCTAAGCTGTGAGGACTTCTGTAAAACTGGCCACCTGTATTGTCCTAAGTAAGACTTACATAGTCTCTCAAGAGAGTGGAAATGAGTTGGGCCTCCGGAAGCCCTTCCGGGGCCTGTTGATGTAACACACTTTGCTCTGTGCTTCTGCAGTGGAGGCTGGTATCAGAGCCTGACAGCTGGGAACTCAGCACCTTTCCCAGTCCTCAGGATAGTCTCTGAAAACTTGGTTTAGTGTGTCTCAATTTTGTATTAGGTTCAGCAGATTATACCTTAATGTTGCAAAAAATGTTTATGAACTTGCTATTAAATGTTACTGGTTTCTGTCCATTGCCCTTTGCAGTAAGCCCTCTGGAAACAACATAGCTTCCCTGACCTTCCTGGGAGTTGTCTTGGGTAGATGGACTCCACGCTGGGTTACATAAACCAGCGGGGAAGGCTTTGGATTCGGAGTTAGCGGGACCCTCAGGCAGAGTCGGAGCTTCTTGCTCTCCTTGAGTTGCCAGCTCTCACTGTGCCCCTAGATTCAGCAGCTCACTGCGCTGCTTCCTGCTGGGAAGTGCGGCTTATGCCTCCAGGGGCTCTAACCCAGTGTCCCCCTGCTGCCTGCCATTTGGGGATCAGTTCTAACGCTTTGCAAGCATTTGAATCGGAATTCCGTAAGCCTTGGTGTTCTGTAGTAAGGAAGGGAGAATACTTGAGTTTCCTCGAGCGTCAGCGTGGTTGCACGTTTTGTCTTTGGCAGATAGTGACAGGGAAAGATTTGAGTCCTTTGGGGCGTCTTTGAGGTGTGCCTGCGCGTTGGCGTGTATGCCGGCAGGCTCTGTACAGCTGCTTGGTTTGTTTCCCTCGCAGGCTTGCGGACTTGAGCGAGCGCAGGGTTGCTGGCAGGGCCTGGGAAGTTCATCTGTGCGGGCCGGGCGCCCCCACGCGCTGCTCTGTACCTGCGCTTCCACCTGGGGCTCTCGGGACCGTCTGCGTGCTTACCCCGCTTCAGGGACGCGGGTTCCCTCGCTGCTCTCGCATCGGGTGTCCTGCTCAGAATTTGGCGTCCCACTGAGTTTTTAAAGCATAGTGTGATTCTATAACTGATTTTCAGCAGTGACTCCCTGGGAGCTTTTTCTCCATACACGTATCATCTATGATTTCTTGACTTTGGATTTCTGTTCTTTCTCTCTGCAGTGGTTATACTTGTGATGTACTACTTTGTGTCTGTTTATTTTTGGTTAAGAATAACTTGAAAGGCAGAGAAAGAGGGAGGAAGAGAGAGAACGTCCATCTGCTGGTTCACTCCCCAGGTGGCCATACCAGCCAGGGGTGGACTAGGTGAAAACCAGGGCCCTGGAGCACTGTCCAGGTGGCACACCAGCCAGGGGTGGACTAGGCGAAAACCAGGGCCCTGGAGCACTGTCCAGGTGGCACACCAGCCAGGGGTGGGTTAGGTGAAAACCAGGGCCCTGGAGCACTGTCCAGGTGGCCACACCAGCCAGGGGTGGACTAGGTGAAAACCAGGGCCCTGGAGCACTGTCCAGGTGGCCACACCAGCCAGGGGTGGACTAGGTGAAAACCAGGGCCCTGGAGCACTGTCCAGGTCCCACGTGGTTGGAAGGTTCCCAAGAACTTAGGAATCTCTTGTTGCTTTCCCAGGTGCATCAGCAGGGTGCTGGATTGGAAGCAGTGTAGCCAGGACTCAGACTGGCACTCCAGTTGGGGTGCTGGTATTGCAAGCTGTGACTTAACCTGCTGGACCAAAATGCCGGCCCCATGTTTTGTCTAAAGATTTATTTATTTATTGGAAAGGCAGAGAGAGAGAGAGAGATCTTCCATTGCTGATTCACTCACTAAATGGCCACAGCCAGGAGCCAGGGGCTGCCTCTGGGTCTCCCACGTAGGTGCAGGGACCCAAGCACTTGGTCCATCTTCTGTTGCTTTCCCAGGCCATAGCAGAGAGCTGGATCAGAGGTGCAGCAGCTGGGACTTGAACTGGTGCCCATATCGGATGCCGGCACTGCAGATGGTGGCTTTACCTGCTGTGCCATAGCGCTGGCCTCCCCTCCTGCCCCTGCCACGTTTATATTTGATATCTCTTCCTTTGTCGTAACGGTGAATATTATTCTTAAAAAGCTTGCGAAGTCTGTTCCTTCTGCAAATGAGTTTCATGTTCCATCAGTTTGATCGTTAATAGAAGACTTCAATATGTAAAGTCCTGAATATAAATTCAATACTCCAGTGGCCTTCAGTAGAAATTCTCATGTTATAAATATTTGTAAAATCTGGAGAAACCAACCATGTCAGACAAGTGGGCATTGATCAAGTATACGATTTGTGCTTGAGCAGTAGTGAAGCACTTTGACCTTGACTGTTGCATGCAGTGGTTTAAAATGCTGCTTAAGGTACCCACATCCCATATCAAAAGTGCCTGGAACCAAGCCCACCTCTGCTTCCAGTACAGCTCCTGGCTCACGCACCTGAGAGGCAACAGATTATGGCCCAAGTCTTGAGTCCCTGCCACCCACGTGGGACACCCAGATGGAGTTCGGCTCCTGACGTCTGCCTGGCCCAGACACAACTATGGAAGGCATTGGGGGAGTGACCTGGTGGATGGAAGTTCTCTATCTGTCTCTGCATCTTCCCCTCTGTCATTCTGCCTTTCAAATAAAAAGAAAGAAAATCTCATTTGAAAGGCAAAATGAGAGAGCTTCCATCTTCACAAATGCCTGTAACACTCAGGGTTGGGCCAGGCTGACACCAGGAGCCTAGAACTCCATCCAGGTGTCACACATGTTGGGCAGGGACCCAAGTACTTGGACCGTGACCTGCTCTGTCCTAGGCGTGCATTAGCTGGAAGCTGGAATTGAATGGAGCCTGGTTTCAGACAGGGCACTCTGCCACAGGGGTGTGGGCGTCTGAGCCCTCGTCTTAACTGCTGTGCTGTCGTGCTGCCCCCGGACAGCCTTTGAAATGCTTCTGTCTAGTGCTGCTCTAACAGGAGGCTTGACAGAGGGTGAGCTAGAAGTGGACTTCTCATAGTTCCAGAGGCTGGGAAGGGCCAGATGAAGGACTCAGCAGGTTGCTGTCTGGGGAAGGCCTGGTCTCTGCTTCCAGGATTGGCACCTTGAACTTTGTTCTCTCACGGCAGAAGGGACCAACACTGGTTCTTGCCGTCCGTCTTATAAAGCTGCCAGCCATCCACATGATTCCCATCCTCTTGACTAAGTCTGCTGCTGCAAGCCCCGCCTCTTCCAATAGCATAGTGGTGACTGCGGCCAGCACTCGCATCTGGGGACACATTCGGGCCGTGGCGCCGTTTACTGGTTTATTTGAACACAAGTGCTCCATTTCACAACGTGTAACCACAGTGTGTCTTAGATTTGTAACACTTTCCTAAATGTTGTATTTTGTGTAATTTAACATGCTTATCTCAGAGTATATGGGAAATACATAGTGGGTATTTGCCTTGTCCTAAATCCCACTCATAACTTTAGAGTCCCTGAAATCGGTTCTCTTGGTGTGGCTTTCGCATGGTTCCCCTCCCTTAGTTCCCAGACACAGTCAGTCTTAGTCCTGTCATGGCAAAGCTTTCGCATGTGTGTAGTTCTCTGCGCTCCTCTGGCTGGCACCATGTGCAGGCCACTGTCCTCGCGCCTGCGCCGAGGTGTCTGGCCGTCCCTGAGGCATGGCAAGTCTTCCTGCCCCCTCTCAGTCCGCCCTGCCGTGTGCCAGGTTTTCTTAAACCGTTACCAAGCTGAGTGCACAGAGACTCACGTGATGAACAGCTAAATTGCTTTTCAACAAGATTTACAAGGGTTCTTGTTTTAAGCCTCTGTTTTATTATTGACATTCATGCCAAATTTTAATACTTTGTTTCACTTACTCTTTTATTTAGGCATACGTTGTTTTTGTTGTTCTTCGTTTGTCACCTCTTTATAACGTTGTGTGTCCTGCCTCAGGTGGAGGATGCGCTGTCTTACCTGGACCAGGTGAAGCTGCAGTTCGGTAGTCAGCCTCAGGTCTACAACGATTTCCTTGACATCATGAAGGAATTTAAATCTCAGAGGTAAAAGATGTGTGGTTGGACTCAAGCTTTGTGCTTGGTGTGTTGCTTTTGGATATTTGTCTGAAAGAGAGACAGAGAACTGCAGTTAGCGGTTCACTACCCAGATGCCTGTGGTGGCCAGGGCAAGGCCGGGCTAGCCAAAGCTCAAGCCAGCACCACTGTGTGCATGGGAGGAACTCTATGGAGCCGTCACCGCTGCTTCCCGAGGTCTGCCTTAGCAGGAGGTGGAGTCGGCATTGAGCCCAGGCCCTTGATGTGCAGCACGGGCATCTGAACCGCGAGGCTAACAGCCTGCCCCGTGCCCCCTTTGGAGCATTGAATTTTCCAGGTCATGATGGAAACTACCAGACTTTTCTCTCCATGTTGGTAAATTTTCCTGCCAAAATGTTTCTCAGTGCTTTATCAGGACAGTGGTGCTGGTAGTAAGTTAGACTGCCTGATTGTTGAGTGGGCTTCAGATGCCCTGGTATTCTGACGTGGTTCGCATGTTGTTAAGAGCAGCTCGTCGAACAGTGCAGAGCTGTGCCCAGTAAAGGATTTCTACTGGTGTATCAAAGATCAGCTCTGCCTGGAAATTGCGGCTCTCAGTTGACTGAGTGTCTGTGTGATACTGCTGTTACCATGAAAGTGTGAGTGTATTGTGTTCAAGACTGGGACAAGTGTCTAGGTCCAGAGCTTGTGTGCGTAGATTCTGTGACATGCATGTTGATCTCTGTGTTTCCCTACGTAGAGAAAACTGAGGGGGAGGTTTTTCTTGCTAGGGTGTCTGTCAGGCTTGCAGCCTTCACTTTTCCTTCTGTTTATCAGCATCGACACTCCAGGAGTGATTAGTCGTGTCTCCCAGCTGTTCAAAGGCCACCCTGACCTGATCATGGGCTTCAACACATTCTTGCCCCCTGGCTACAAAATTGAGGTGCAAACCAATGACATGGTGAACGTGACAACTCCTGGCCAGGTTCATCAGATCCCCACGCACGGCATCCAGCCCCAGCCTCAGCCACCACCCCAGCATCCTTCCCAGCCTTCGGCACAGTCAGCCCCAGCTCCTGCCCAGCCGGCTCCTCAGCCTGCACCTGCCAAAGTCAGCAAGGTGAGCCTGTGGGAAACCGCCTCATGTGACGTGGGTGTCTCAGAGCACCTGCCGTGGACACCTGCCCTTGGCAGGATTCAGACAGGCCCAGAGCCTTCCTCGACAACGATGCAGCTCATCCCGCACCTTTAATGTGTCACATTTACACACAGCATGCTTGCGTGTCTCCTGAAGTGAGCACAGGTGGTGGCCTCGTAGCTCAGTACTTAGACAGGATCATCTCTCATGGTCAAGAGGTACCACTGTCCACGTGCCGTCATTCCAGAGGCTGCTCTTTACCAGATTAACTTGTGTCAAGCTGAGCGAAGACCCCAGTGATGGAGGGGAAGGTGGTGATGATGCACTTGCCTGTGACTAGAACAGACCGAGTGCTCGGCTGCACGGCTGCATCTCCAGAGCTCAGGGCCGTGCGTGCTAGTGGCAGCCGGACGAGAAGGTGCAGATGACGTTTCCGGCACCTCAGTGTGCTGGCGCAGAGGTGATCTAGCAGCCTCCTGCAGGGGGGTTTGTCGTCTTGTTAAAGGTCTCCCTAGAATGAGTTCTGTCTGTCTGTACCTGCTGTGCTCGAGAGCTTAAAGACCGCACGTGAAAGATTCTGCCTGCAGCTGGAGGTGGCCCAGCCCTAAGTTGTAGGTAGAAGATTCGAGACTGGGTACTGGTACCACAGAGTGCAGCCCCTCCGCCCTGCCCAGGCGGCTTGGCGGAGTGAGTCAGCAAGGATGCAAGTGGAGTTGACACCTCCCTTTTCTTTAGCTCTTTCCCCTTGTCAAACCGTGAGTGTGCGCGCGTGTGCATGCGTGTGCGCGTGCTACTGAGGAGAACACAGACTCTTCTTTTCAGCCTTCCCAGCTGCAAGCACATGCCCCAGCCAGTCAGCAGACTCCCCCGCTCCCTCCGTATGCATCCCCGCGCTCTCCGCCGGTGCAGCCTCACACCCCGGTGACCATCTCGCTGGGAACGGCCCCGTCTCTGCAGAACAATCAGCCTGTGGAGTTCAACCACGCCATCAACTATGTGAACAAGATCAAGAACCGGTTCCAGGGGCAGCCAGACATCTACAAAGCCTTCCTGGAGATTCTGCACACCTATCAGGTAGGAGGTTGTCTTGTTGGTTTCTGTGAACCCCTGGCTGCCCTCTGGGGGCCTCTCGTCCAAGAAGAACTTAGAAACTGTGATCTGTGATCATAAAGCCACTTTTTTTTGCCTGACTTGGATGCCCTGTTAGCATCCCGTGGGGATTTGCAGCCACTGCCCTGTGAGATGAATGCTGTTGATCTGGGACGCTTAGAGCAGGGCTAACCTGCAGGAGGAGCAGCTTCGCAGGTGTTTGTGTTGCATCAGTTGGCATGGTGCACTGAGCATCACTTTTACTGCCCAGCGTTTGATTTGCTTGTTCGAAAAGCAGAGGGACAGAGAGACTGTCCGACTGCTGGTTCACTCCCCCAGTGGCAGCTGGATCTGGGCCAGGTCAAAGCCAAGAGCCTGGAACTCTATCAGGGTCTTCCACTGCCCTCCCTGGTGCAGGAAAGGGCACTGAAAATGGAGTGGCACTCTGGTGTGTGTGCTGGCGTTGCCAGCGATGGCTCAACCCATTGTGCCACCACACCATCTTCAACTTTAAAGTCCACAGTCAGAACAGCTGCCGACAGTATAGACTTCTTGAAAATTTATTTGAAAGGCAGAGTTACAGAGAGAGAACACGAGAAAGGTCTTCCATCCACTGCTTCACTCCCCAGATAGCTGCAATGGCTGGGGCTGGGCCTGGCCAGAGCCAGGAGCCAGGAGCTTCTTCTGGGTCTCCCACGTGGGTGCAGGAGCCAAAGGATTTGGGCCATCCTCCACCGCTTTCCCAGGTGTATCAGCAGGGAGCTGGATTGGAAGTGGAGCAGCTGGGTCTCGAACCAGCACCCATATTGGATGCTGGCATTGCTGGCAGAGGCTTAACCTGCTAGGCCACAAAGCCGGCTCCTAGACTTTTTTGAGGGTAGCGTAAGTAGATACCAGAGCAGGATTCCTGTCAGGCATTCCGGAAAGCGCAGAGGTGGGATTCAGAACAGTAACCCTGTGACACAGCCTCCTTCCGTTCGCAATTCCTCAGAAAGAGCAGCGGAATGCCAAGGAAGCTGGGGGCAGTTACACTCCAGCGCTGACGGAGCAAGAGGTGTATGCCCAGGTGGCTCGTCTGTTCAAAAACCAGGAAGACCTGCTGTCCGAGTTTGGACAGTTCCTCCCAGATGCCAACAGTTCCGTGGTGAGTTTCACTTGGATTCAGGACCGCTGGATGGGTTGCAAAGCTGCAGTCAGAAGGCCCTTGGCCTGACGACACTGAGCCTGCTTTGATCAGAACGCTAACCTCTTGCGTGTGTCTTCAGCTTTTAAGCAAAACAACAGCTGAGAAGGTTGATTCGGTGAGAAATGACCATGGAGGCACCGTGAAGAAGCCCCAGCTAAACAACAAGCCGCAGAGGCCGAGCCAGAACGGCTGCCAGATCCGCAGGCACTCTGGCACGGGAGCCACGCCCCCGGTGAAGGTGCGGCGGGCGGCTGGGTCCTGGGTCCGGGGCGAGCTGCTGTCTGTCAGAGCTCAGCCGTGTGCTGGGCTTTGCCAAAGGGCAGTAGCTGATTGCGGGGTTACAGCGCTCTTGTGAGTTCGGACTGGAGTTTGTTCTTTTTTTGTTTTTGTTTTTGTTTTTGTTTTTGACAGGCAGAGTGGACAGTGAGAGAGAGACAGAGAGAAAGGTCTTCCTTTGCCATTGGTTCACCCTCCAATGGCCGCCGCGGCCGGCGCACCGCGCTGATCCGATGGCAGGAGCCAGGTGCTTCTCCTGGTCTCCCATGGGGTACAGGGCCCGAGCACTTGGGCCATCCTCCACTGCACTCCCTGGCCACAGCAGAGAGCTGGCCTGGAAGAGGGGCAACCGGGACAGAATCCGGCGCCCTGACCGGGACTAGAACCCGGTGTGCCGGCACCGCAAGGCGGAGGATTAGCCTAGTGAGCCGCGGCGCCGGCCGGAGTTTGTTCTTACATTATCTCTCTGCTGTGAGTTGTGTTTATTTTTCTGTTTGCTACCGAGAGTTTCTGACACTTCCAAAGTTTCCGTTCTTCTGATTTTGGTGCTTTAAGAAGAATCTTGAGCTGGATGGATGTTCTTTCAGAAATAGAGGGGTCGTCTTGTGGGAGAGGGGCTGTGCTTTGTGAGATCTCGGGTTCCTCCCCAAGGCGGGATCCGGTGGCTGTTGCAGAAGAGGTCTCCGACGCCTGTTAGGGTTGGGCCACCTGGTGTTTGCACCTGCTGTTGCAGTCAACACGAGGGGGTGTGCCTGCCACCCGTGATACAGCTCATGCGTGGCAGGAACTGGTTAGGTTTGCTCTTTGAATGCCGAGCTCTGAGTGAGTGCTGGAGCGGCAGGTGATGTGAGGTAGGCCTGTCTGCAGAATTCCGTTAAAGAATGACGAAAGCTGGTGGAATTTGAGATCGTACGCGATGACTGGTGAACAAGTGAATGGCTGCGAGGACTGACGTCAGCACTGCCGGTACTCTGAAGGGCCTTGCTCTCTGTTCCAGACGAGTTCTCGTGACGTCAGGCTAGACACAATCATGGTTTCTGGGCCCTCAGTGACGAGGACTGGGGCCACGGGTTGCCAGGTACGGCCAGGAGAGTGCCCCCACCCCAGGCTCTGCTCTCTCACCTGACAGCCTGCTGTGAGAACCCGCCCTGGGCCGTGAGAGCAGGCTCTGGCTCCCAGCTGGCCCCCATAACTGCAGCGTTTCAGTTTGTACACTTTTCCCAGATAGTTGAAAGTGAATTCTTGCTGTTTGTTCTGTTTCAAACAATACCATCAGTGTGAGTGATATTGCTGACAAGAGTTCCTCCTCCTGTTGGAACCGTGCTTCTTTTCCTGAGCGTTCACAGTGAAGCATCAAAGGTTAGAGATTGACTGCTGTGTGTTCTAGGTGATGTGTGCCCACTCTTTGTACAAATAGCCTCTTCTCCCACAACAGGTAGGAAAAACAGTGGTGTCAGGTTCCAGGTACACTCACTCGGGCCTCTGGAGAAAGGAAGAAAATTAATTCCATAAGCTTGTCACAGTGACTGTTTCTGGAGGCGCTATCTGGGGAGTAGAAAGAGAACTTGAGAGAAGGACACTGATGGGCAGACTAAAACAGACGGGGGAATAATCTTTTAACCTGCAGGCTGAGTTCATGACAGATTCTCTCACTCGTTTCACATTATCACTCAGCAGTAGTTTTGGTCTAGAACTGTGACGTACAGGTGAAAACCGGAAAGTTCACTCTGAGTCTTACGTGTCTGTGTCTTTGCTTCTTTGCAGAAGAAACCTAAGCTGCTCAGCCTAAAGGACTCTCCCCTGGCGGAGGCCAGCAAGCACGGTGCTGGCACGGAGTCCTTGTTTTTTGATAAGGTGAGTGATGCCTGAATTAGATTTGAAACCAACATTCATGACAAAAGAACGAGCCGATTAGGCCTTTGTAATTATTTCATTTACTTAAGTCAGAGTTACACAGAGAGAGAAGGAGAGGCAGAGAGAGAGAGGTCTTCCATCCGCTGGTTCACTCCCCAGTTGGCCGCAACAGCCAGACTGCGCCAATCTGAAGCCAGGAGCCAGGAGCTTCTTCCAGGTCTCCCACGTGGGTGCAGGAGCCCAAGGTCTTGGGCCATCTTCTGCTTTCCCAGGCCACAGCAGAGAGTGGGATCGGAAGTGGTGCAGCCAGGACTCGAACCGGCACCCATATGGGATGCCAGCACTGCAAGCGGTGGCTTTACCTGCTACGCCACAGCACCAGCCATCAAATTTTCATTTTTTTAAAGATGTATTTGTTTGAAAGAGTTAGAGGGTAAGACAGAGAGAGATCATCCATCCCCTAGTTCTTTCTCCAGATAGCTACAACAGCCAGGGCTGGGCCAGGCCAAAGCCAGGAGCCAGGGGCTTCTTTCAGGTCTCCCACATGAGTGGTAAAGGCGCAGACACTTGGGCCATCTTCGACTGCTTTTCACGGGCCATAAACAGAGGGCTGAATTAGAAGTGGAGCAGCCAGGACACAAACAGCCCATGTGGGACACCGGCATCACGGGAGGTGGTCTTACCTGCTCCGCCGCAGTGCCGGCCCTCCGTGCTTTGTTTTTTCCTATTTTTGTGTGGGTCCCTTCTGTCTGCTGGTATCGCTAGCACAGCTAGAGGGAGGCTGTCGTTGCCTCCTTCGGTTCTGCAAGGTGCATGGCAGCCACGGGCGTCCTCCCCTTGTGCCCGACGTCTGCATGCAGCTCCCCTTTGTGGACACACGGGCCTGCCTGGCGGAGGGTGTGGTGAAGACACCGGATGCCTGTGGTCCTGTGATCACTGTGACTCCCTTTTGTACTGTGCACATACAAGGGCAATCCCGAAAGTTGGTGGAAACGGAAATAAAAGATGTTGTTTTTATCAAAAGTTTTTGAAATCTGTGCCTAGTTTGTTTCATGATATGTATGTGTTTTCCATAAACTTTTGAAGACCTCTGGTATAGGGTTCCTGGGAGTTCTAGTTTGTTGTTGGAACTCCCCAGGTGACTCGAGTGGGCAGCCAGCGTGAGCTCAGTGGTGCATGTCGTCGTGTGGGGTCTTCGTTCAGCTCTCCTGTGTCTGGTGTGACGAGTAGACACCAGCCCCCTACACTGAGCTGGGGACTGACCCTGTCTTATGCCCCTGGGAGAAGATCAAGTGATTACATCCCAGTGAGTGGCACCTCCTCACGGCCTCCTGCTGTGCCTCTGGGAACGCTTTCTGAGGCTGCCCTGACACGGTGCCGAGGCAGATGTAGAAGTCCGGGCGATAGCCACGCAGTGGCAAGGAGAGGGTGGGGAGGGGACTGTTGGAAAGCAAGGCAGAACCAGAAAGAACAGAAGCCAAGTGCATCATGCGGACCTCACTGGGATTCTGCATTCGAAAACCAGATTTTAGAGGCATTTATTAGACAATTGAAATTTGAGTGTGCGGTTAAGGAACCTTATAAGGAATCTTGAAATAAATTAATTAAGAGTAGTGGGCTGTTGAAAACTTTTTAAAACACTTTCTTTGGCTACATACCAAGGTGTATGTAGGTACAATGTCTGAGACTTGCTTTATCATTCAATGATAGAGATGCGTGTGAAGGAGACAGAAGTCATTGAGGCTGGGTGATACATGGGTTCAGCACTTCTTTGTGCTTAAAAGCTAGTACAGGGGCTGGGGTTGTGGTGGAGTAGGGTGATCCTCTGCCTGCAGTGCCGGCATCCCATATGGGCACCAGTTCCAGTCCTGGCTGCTCCACTGTTGATCCAGCTCCCTGCTAACGTGCCTGGGAAAGCAGAAGATGGCCCAAGCTCTTGGGCCCCTGCACCTGCATGGGAGACCTGGAAGAAGCTCTTGGCTCCTGGCTTCAGATCAGGCCAGCTCCAGCCATTGTGGTCATTTAGGGAGTGAACCAGTAGATGGAAGACCTCCCTCTTCCTCTGTAACTCTACCTCTCAAATGAAGTCTTGTTTAAAAAAAAACAAAAAACTAATAAAAAATTAAGTAAAAGTGGTATATTGCACAAAAAGTAACTTGCTCTTTAATCTTTAGCTTTTATTTTTATTTATTTATTTATTTGAAAGGCAGAGTTACAGAGGAAGAGAGGGAGAGAGATCATTCTTACATCCACTTGTTTGTTCCCCAAATCGCCACCATGGCTGGGGCTTTCCAGCCCAAAGCCAGCAGCCTGGAGCTTCTTCCAGATCTCCCATCTGGGTGCAGAGGCCCTAGAACTTGCGCCATCACCTGCTGCTCTCGCAGGCGCTCTAGCAGGGAGCTGGATGAGAAGTGGAGCAGCTGGGACTTGAACTGGCACCATGTAGGATACTGGCATTGCAGGCAGCGGTTTAACCTGGGACACCACAGTGCTGTCCCTTAGTCTTTAGCTTTTAAGTTGAGCTTCATATGCCGTGGTGCGCCTCTCAGTGGGAAGTGAGAGAGACACTGCAGCCTGGAGCGGGGCTGTGCATAAGCCATGGGGGTTGGCACCAGGGAGCTGTAACTGCAGGGCTCATCTGCCCAGGCCAGCCTTAGGTCTGTGTGCTGGCGAACGTGTCTCCATTCTTGATAGTAAAATTCCTATTGTAAATAGAAGGAAAAAGATCAGGTTAGAAGACACAAGTGGTTTTTAGAAGTTTGGGGGCCCACGTTAGGACACCTGCATCCCAAGTCGAGTGTCTGGGTTTCATAGCGGCTCTCTGCCTGACTCTGCTTTCCTCCTGAAGCAGACCCCAGGAGGCAGCAGTGGCGGCTCAAGTGTTTGGGTCCCTGCCACACGTGGACCTTGAGTAAATAAATTCATGGCTTCTGAGCTTAGCCCCAACTGAGAACTGTCACATGCATTTGAGGAGTGAGCCAGTGGGAGTGCTGTCTCCCTCTGTGTGTGTGTGTGCGCCTGTATCCCTCACCTCTCTGCCTCATAAACAATAACAGTCATTGAAGACTACTGGAGTTTGACAACATGGCGAACAGACTCTTACTGTACACCTGTTAAAGGGGCGGCAGAAGGCAGGTAACTGATGCATGTGGGATCTCACTTCTAGAGCGTTCACTGTGGAGTGTGTTGAGCGCACACGGGCTGTGGGAGACCAGAGAGGTGAGGCCTCAGGCATGCCCTGCTTCAGCACTCCCCGCTCCTTTGTTCATCAGAGATCCCAGACAGGATATTACTTGAACCATAAATAATTTTAGTAAGTTCCCTTTATAAAGTACTCCCTTTTTAAGACATAACCATTATCACATCCAAAAAAGTAACATAGATTCCTTAATGTCTTCATACCAGTTATATTTCCTCAGTTTTTAAAAATGTAATCCAAGGGCCGGTGTTATGGCATAGCAGTCAAAGCTGCTGCCTGTGGAGGATGGCCCAGGTCCTTGGGCCCTGCACTCACATGGGAGACCAGGAGGAAGCACCTGGCTCCTGGCCATTTTGGGGGTGAACCAATGGAGGGAAGACCTTTGTCTCTATCTCTTACTGTCTAACTCTCAAATAAAATAATAATAATAATAATAATAATTTTTTTTTTTTTTTTGACAGGCAGAGTGGACAGTGAGAGAGAGAGACAGAGAGAAAGGTCTTCCTTTGCCGTTGGTTCACCCTCCAATGGCCGCCGCGGCCGGCGCGCTGCGGCCGGTGCACCGCGCTGATCCGATGACAGGAGCCAGGAGCCAGGTGCTTTTCCTGGTCTCCCATGGGGTGCAGGGCCCAAGCACCTGGGCCATCCTCCACTGCCCTCCCTGGCCACAGCAGAGGGCTGGCCTGGAAGAGGGGCAACCGGGACAGAATCCGGCGCCCCGACCGGGACTAGAACCCGGTGTGCCGGCGCCGCAAGGCGGAGGATTAGCCTAGTGAGCCGCGGCGCCGGCCCAATAATAATAATTTTTTAAAAAGCTGCTGCCTGCGATGCTGACTTACCATATAGGCACTGGTTCAAGTCCTGGCTGCTCCATTTCTTTTCCAGCTCCCTGCTAATGCACCTGGGAAAGCAGCAGAGGATGACCCAAGTGCGTGGGACCCTGCACCCATGTGGGGGACCTGGATGAAGCTCCTGGGTCCAGCCTGGCCCAGCCCTGGCTGTTGCAGCCATTTGGGCAATGAACCAGAGGATCGAAGCTCTCTCTCTCTCACTTTGACTTTCAGATAAATAATACTAAAAAACGTAGTCCACGGGGCAGCGTTGTGGTGGAGTGATGGACGCTTCCACTCGCGACGCCAGCAGCCCCAGGCAGAGCGCTGACTGCGTCCCAGCTGCTCCACTTCTGCCTCAGCTGCTTTCCTAAGTAGCCTGGGAAAGCAGCAGAAGATGGTCCAAGTACTTAGGGCCCTGCCCCCCATGTGGGAGACGAAGATGGAGTTCTAGGCTCCTGGCTTCACCCTGACCTAGCCACAGCTGTTGGGGCCATTTGGAGAACCAGCAGATGCGAGATCTCTGTCTCTGTCTCTGCCCCTCTCTCTCTGTCATTCTGCCTTCAAATACAGAGATCTTTTTTATGTAATCCAAGATCCCAGTTCCCCACCTAACCGTGTTCTCTGGTCGCCTCAGGTCCGAAAGGCCCTGCGCAGTGCTGAGGCCTATGAGAACTTCCTGCGCTGCCTGGTGATCTTCAACCAGGAGGTGATCTCTCGGGCCGAGCTCGTGCAGCTCGTCTCGCCTTTTCTGGGGTAAGTGCGGTGAGGGCTTCAGTCCTGGGAGTTCTTCTCACGTGGAGACTGGCTAGGGTTTGATGGGTGCAGCCGGAGGTAGGCAGAGCTAGCTAGCTTCAGTTGCGGTGTCGGTCACCTGACATGTCCATGTCCAGAGGGCGCTGAGAACTGGTCCAGCTCCAGCGGTGAGAAGATGGGCCAAGGCTGGTGCTCTGCTCGTGCTCTGACCAGTGCTGGTGTTTGTAGAGACAAACCTTTCCCAGGTTCTCGAAGTCCTGCTGTATCTGACAACCTAAGGATTAGAACCTAAGCACCGTCGAGAGTAACAGGATGAAAGAGCGGCTGGGCGCTGCCCGGTCGATGGCAGCTCCCCACCGCCCCCTGCTGTCCCGAGTGTGCCGCCTGCAGAAGCGGTTCCCGGGCGGGGGGCTCGGTGTTCTGACCCAGTCCCAGGTGGCGGAGCTCGCGCCTCTGGTTGCTGACTGCTCTCTGCTTTGCTTCTTCAGGAAATTCCCTGAACTGTTCAATTGGTTCAAAAACTTCCTGGGCTATAAGGAGTCTGTGCACCTGGAAACCTTCCCAAAGGAACGCGCCACCGAGGGCATCGCCATGGAGATCGACTACGCCTCGTGTAAACGGCTGGGCTCCAGCTACCGCGCCCTGCCCAAGAGTTACCAGCAGCCCAAGTGTACAGGGCGGACCCCGCTCTGTAAAGAGGTGAGGCCTCCAGAGGGTCAGCTGCGCAGCCTCTGCTCCCCCCGGGAGGGAGGGCCGGTTCGGGAATCCAGGCCCCACGGGGATGACAAGTCGAGAGCCCCTCTGTCCTTTCTCAAAAGAAAATATTTCCCCTTACGTTCAGGAGCTCTTTCTTAGCTCCTAGTGAAGTTGCGGAGGGTGGAGTCTGGGGCACAGTGGTAGCTGCTGACTTCCTCCCGGAAGTTCGCTCTTCATCGAGAAGGCGTCATCAGGAGTGGGCGTGCAGCCGAGAGGCTGGGACGCCTTTGTACCAATCAGAGTGTGCTCCCTCGCCTGGCTCCCGCTCCAGCTCCTGGCTCCAGCTTCCTGCTGGTGCACACCCTGGGAGGCAGCAGGCATGGCTCAAGGGACTGCGCTCCTGTCGCCCACGGGAGACCTGGAAGGAGCTCCTGCTTCCTGGCCGCCTCTGCCTCAAAAGCAAAAAGACCTTCATCCTCAGAAGGGCTCTGGTAGGCTCTGGTTTCAGTCCCACTTCTCCTGCCCAAAGGTTCTGAATGACACCTGGGTCTCCTTCCCTTCATGGTCCGAGGACTCCACCTTCGTTAGCTCCAAGAAGACGCAGTACGAAGAACACATTTACCGCTGCGAAGATGAGCGCTTCGAGGTACGGGCGTCTGTGTGTGACGGCCGGGGCCCTCGTGCTGTGGTGGTGAATGCTGGTTGTACTCACTGTGCTTCGTTCATTTGCCAAATATGTGTATCGCAGTTTTCTTTCATGGCAGACGTAGCTTATCTAGGCCACTTGAGCCCTTGTAACTGAAATTGTCCGTTGATGACTGAAATAATACATTTTTTGCATGCGTTTTGAAGGCTATTGTATTTTACATGGAATAGAAATCCAGTGCCCTCGGGCCTGTGGGCTCCCTTGGAGCTGTTTTTAGATGGTTTATTTTAAGAGCCCCGTGCGGTGAGAACTAGATGTCTTTCCTGCTTGGCTCTTTTTGAAAGGAAGTTAACTGAGGGACTTTTGTGTCCACGAGGTGGCAGGGAAAGGGCTGGAGTGGACGGATGAGCTGCCGAGAGTCCTTCTGCAGCGGGGACGGGAGAGTGGGCTCAGTGCACTCAGTGCGTGCAGCTGGCCAGCCCACCTAGCTCTGCGGGCGGACCGCATCTTTCTCCTTCTCACCCATGCTGACGTAGCTCTCTTCCCTCTTCACACTGACTCCCACTGCTTCCAGTGTTCTAGAATGAGCTCTCACGTGCTGCCTGGCCCCTGGCAGGTCGTGGCCACGTTTGCCCCAGCATTCATCAGGAGTCCAGCCATTTGCAGAAGACTCGATCCTGACAGGTGTTAGCCTCCGTGGGGATTAGCAGACTGCGGGGCCTTTCTTGGCTGCCCGGGTTAGCCAGGCTCAGTGTGCATCTTTGTGGCACGGTGCGAGTCCTCACTCCCGACCACTGTGCCTGCCAGCGGGGGGCAGCAGCCTCCTTGCCCATTGGCGCCGGCAAGGGCAAGGAGCAGTGAGTTGTGGGCTGTGTTTGGGGGATGACCTGGGGAAGGTGAGTTCCTGTATCAGTCAGGACGCTGTAAGACAGCTTCCAAGTCCAGGGACCTGGGAAAACGGGGTTCATGTCCAGCTGGGGACTTGGCTCTGAGGATGACCGCATCTGGTTGTGAGAGGGAAAGAGCTAAGAAGGATCTGAGATGCCGGAATGCTCCCACCCGGAGCAGTACCAGGACTTACACTCGTCTCACAACTCGGTTGCCACACTAGATACGGGGCCCCGTGCGATCGTGAGAGATTTAGAGAGTTCAGTCCGTTGCTCATCCATAATTGGGAGCGGGGTCCTGGAACAAGAAAACGTGGGGGACACCTTTGCACACTGCTCATTGCTGCACCCTCTGTCCCTCACTTAGACTCTGTGTGAAACCTTGGAGACGGGTAGTCTAAGGCGTGCAGTGCCAGATGAGCGAGACCTCTTCCAGAAAATAAGTGGCCAGAGTAGGAATTCAAGTGGTTACCCCCAGATAGAATGTGGACTCCACGAGAAGTGAGCATCAGCACTCAGACTGCTGCTGGCTGTGGAGCAGGCTGTGTTGAGTGGTGTTTGGTGAGGGATTTCAGCAGTGCGTGACGCTCAGGGAGAGTGGCAGCAGGGTGGCTCCCGTGTGCCCCTCTGGTCTGTAGGGTCAGCTGTGGAGAGCAGGGCACAGTGCTGTGAGGGACCACCGCCGCGTTCTCGTCTTGGCTGGACGTGTCTGAGTGCCAGCTGCTGTGCTGGACTCTTCGTGTAGATCGTACAGTCAGTCCAGAACAGCCTCAGGAGGACCCCGGGTGCTGCCGCCCTTGGACTGTGCTGCAGTGGCAGAGCCGGGCTTGGTCAAGGAGGTGAGCGTCCAGCCCGGGTCTCTGACCCCGCCGCTCTGTTTTGGTTTGGGTGCTAAGCACCTTTGTTTCTCTCTCCAGCTGGATGTAGTTTTGGAGACCAATCTGGCAACCATCCGGGTTTTGGAAGCAATACAGAAAAAGCTTTCGCGCTTGTCTGCCGAGGAGCAGGCCAAGTTCCGCCTGGACAACACGCTTGGCGGCACGTCGGAGGTGATCCACCGCAAAGCTCTGCAGAGGATATATGCCGACAAGGCCGCCGACATCATCGATGGCCTGCGCAAGAACCCCTCCATCGCTGTGCCCATCGTCCTCAAGAGGTGCCTGGGCCGGGCCCTTCCGCCGTCCTGTGCTGCACCCAGGCTCAGGCTCCCCTTCAGAGCTCCTGCTGGCCTGAGTGTCTCCCCAGCCCTGGTTGTTGGAAATTGGGTACAAGCAGGAGAAGGGACCTTGTTGTGAAGGTTCTGTGTAACCAGCTGTAGAGAGCAGGTGTGGGGCTGTTGTGAAGCACAGGGAGAGCCGGCCGGCGCGCGGCTCACCAGGCTAATCCTCCACCTGCGGCACCGGCACCCCAGGTTCTAGTCCCGGTCGGGGTGCTGGATTCTGTCCCGGTTGCCCCTCTTCCAGTCCAGCTCTCTACTGTGGCCTGGGAAGGCAGTGGAGGATGGCCCAAGTGCTCGGGCCCTGCACCCACATAGGAGACCAGGAGGAAGCACCTGGCTCCTGGCTTCAGATCGGCACAGCGTGCCAGCCGTAGCAGCCATTTGGGGAGTGAACCAATGGAAAAGGAAGACCTTTCTCTCTCTCTCACTGTCCTAACTCTGCCTGTCAAAAAAAAAAAAAAATACAGGAAGAGCCAAGAAAGAAATGACCCATGTTCCTACCGTTCAGTCCTAGCTGTTATGAAGATCCTGGTGTGTTTTATAATAAAAAATCACTCTTCGTAGAATTTTTTTATTTATTTGAAAGAGTGACGGGGAGAGAAAGAAAGAATAGATGTTTTCCATCCACTAGTTCATTTCCCAGAGGGCTGTAATAGCCAGGGCTGGGCCAGGCCCAAGCCAAGAGCCCAGAACTCCATTCTGAATGCCCACACAGGTGATAGGGACCTAAGCACTGGGACCATCTGCTGCCTTCCCAGGTGCATTAGCAGGGAGCTGGATTAGAAGCAGGGTGGCTGTCACTTGAATTGGCACAGCATCACAGGCCACAGCTGCGCCTTCCGTGCCACAACAGTATTTGTAAAAATTGAGACATGCTCGTGAAAACAGTGTTTGCCATTTTTACCAAGAATGTTTGTCCTGATAGACCAGGCACGGTTGGGTGTGGAGGGCTGAGTACCCACCTAAGGCCTCAAGCAAGAGACCACAGGCAGGGCTGAGCTCCAGTGTCCTAAGTTCATGGCATTCCTTTTTTTTTTTTTTTTTTTTAATTCTTTATTGGTTTTTAATATTTGAAAGGCAAAGAGACAGGCACAGACTTCCCATCTGTTGGCTCACTTCGGGAATGTCTGCAGTGCCGGAGGCGGAGGCCAGGAGCTGGGAACCCAATCCAGGTCTCCTGCATAGGTGTTAGGGACCCAGCCACTCAGGCCGGCAGCACTGCCTCCCAGGGTTGCATTGGCAGAAGCTGTGTTGAAGTTGGAGGCCAGAACTGGATGTTGAACCCAGGTCCTGGCAGGCGGATGTAGGCCAGTTGCCTGCCCCCATTGGTACTCTGACCGTGCTGTGACGCTTTGGCTAAGAGCTAAATCCTCTCGGTATCACCTGGCGAACGTTAATTGTTTGCTGCACAGCTCACACAAGTCCAGATTTTACCTTTCGTCCCCAGCCTTCCCCTAAAGAGCAGGCACACGCTGCGGATTATTCCTCTAGCCAGTAGTGTTTGACGTGTGGCTTTTGAGGTGCAGATTAGCCTTTAGTTCTGGTGCTGTGTTGGTTTTCATTCTTCCCTGGAGCCTCAGAGTCAGGGACTCTGCGTGGAGCTTTGTGGATTGTGTCCAAGTGTAGGAGAGGGCCTAAGGCTCTGTGGCGCTCGTCTCCCGCTGTCTGAGGCAGAGAGCCCTTTCTCGAAGGAAATGCACCCTCGCCCCAGGGGGTTTTCTTGGGTGCTGTTTGGGAAGTAACTAGATTAGATTTGTGATTGTGGCACCAGTTACTGCCTCAGAGTGCGTCCTGAATGGCTGATTCGCCACGTGGCAGTCCAGGCCGGCTCTGATGACATTTGCCCCTGAGTTCCCACTTGTCGCTGTGTGCACCTCCCTCCCACGCAGGCTGAAGATGAAAGAGGAGGAGTGGCGAGAAGCTCAGAGAGGCTTCAACAAGGTGTGGCGAGAGCAGAACGAGAAGTACTACCTGAAGTCTCTGGACCACCAGGGCATCAACTTCAAGCAGAACGACACGAAGGTGCTGCGCTCCAAGAGCCTGCTCAACGAGATCGAGAGCATCTACGACGAGGTGAGCCGCGGCTCCGCGCTGCGCCCTGCCGCTGCCTGGCCGCCCCAGCCGCCCCGCCCTGCCGCTGCCACCACGCCGAGCCTTCCTGTGTCGCGATTCCCACCCTGCTCCGCTCTCCCGTCCTCTCCCGTGCCGCCTGCCATCCATCTCCTTCAAGTGACACCTGGCTCTCCTGTGGACCGCCTCCGTTTACCGCTGACCCCCGAGCTCCGTCGTGCGTGCTCCCGGGAGCTGAGATGCCGGGAGGAGCTCCCAGTCACGGGGGGAGATGGACCCCTGCTGTGCAGCTGGGAATTCCTAGAATGGGGTCGTCTTGCATTTTGAAAAACAGTAGTAAAATGAACTCTTGCATAAATGTAATCATCTGTATTTTGCCAATACTAGTACACTGCACCTTCTGCACCCCACCCCATCATCTAACTGTAAATCCCTTATATCATGACCTCCATAAATCCCAGTCCAGAATTTCATTTTTGAGTAATTTATTTATTGGAAAGGCTGAGCCACAAAGCTTTCATCCACTGGTTCATGCCCCAAATGGCCACAGCAGCCACAGGCCAAAGCCAGGAGTCAGGAACTCCGTCTGGGGCTCCCTCTTAGGCGGCAGGGGCCCAAATGATTGGGCCACCTGCTGCTGCCTTCCAGGCACGTTAGCAGGAAACTGGATCAGAAGTAGAGCAGCTGGGACTCAAACCGTCGCTCTGGTAACAGATGCCAGCATTGCACGTGGCAGCCCAACCCACTGTGCCACAGTGCCATCCCCTAGTCTGGAAATCCACACCCCCACCCCACCCCCAGGATTTAAAATGTTTTGGGGAAATATTTTTATGTATTTGAAAGGCAAAGTGACAGAGAGGGAAAGGCAGAGATCTCCCATCCACCAGCTCACTTCCCAAATGGCCACAATGTCCTAGGTTGGGCCAGGCCGCAGCCAGGAGCCAGGAACTCCGTCGGGATCTCCTGTGTTGGTCGCAGCAGCACACTCACTTGGCCCCTTCTCCACTGCTGGGGGTGCATTGCGGGGAGCTGGATAAGAAGCAGAACAGGGCTGGCATCTTGACATAGTGGTTGAAGGCCATGGCCTGCAGTGCCAGCATTCCATTTGAGTGCAGGTTCAAGTCCCAGCTGCTGCACTTCTGATCCAGCTCCCTGCTAATGCACCTGGAAAGCAGCAGAAGGTGGCCCAAGTCCTTGGGCTCTTGCACCCAAATGGGAGACCCAGAAGTCTTGGCTTGGGCCTCGTCCAGCCCTGTTGTTTTGGCGATCTGGGTAGTGAACCAGCACATGGAGCTCTCTGTTTCCTTATTCCCTCTGTAAGTCTGCCTTTCAAATAAATAAATAAATCTTTAAAAAAAAAAAAAGCAGCAGTGGAACAGCTAGGACTCGAGCAGCATCACAGGCAGTGGTTTAACCTGCTGTGCCATGTCGCTGGCCCTTGTTCTGCCTCACTGTCCCTGTGAAGTCATCAGTGTCTGCGAGGTGCTGTTGTTTTGGCACACCAGTACCTTTCCCACATTTCTGTTTGGTCCTGGAAGAGGCACAAGATTCAATTCCTAAGTTTTAGATTGGGGGGAAAATAGGCGCAGTGGTTGATAATGGGTGTACTGTGTGGTCTCGTAGGTCTGTTGCTGGCCTAGACACATCACGCGATTCTTTGTCTCTCCCGTCAGAGGCAGGAGCAGGCTACGGAAGAGAACGCTGGTGCACCTGTAGGCCCACACCTGTCGCTCGCCTACGAGGACAAGCAGATCCTGGAGGACGCGGCTGCTCTGATCATCCACCACGTGAAGCGGCAGACGGGCATCCAGAAGGAGGACAAGTACAAGATCAAGCAGATCATGCATCACTTCATTCCCGACCTGCTCTTCGCTCAGCGAGGTGACCTCTCGGATGTGGAGGAGGAGGAGGAGGAGGAGATGGATGTGGATGAAGCTACCGGGGCCGCCAGGAAGCACAACGGTGTCGGGGGCAGCCCCCCGAAGTCCAAGCTGCTGTTCAGTAACACAGCAGCCCAGAAGCTGCGGGGGATGGAGGACGTGTACAACCTGTTCTACGTCAACAACAACTGGTACATCTTCATGCGGCTGCACCAGATCCTCTGCTTGCGGCTGCTGCGGATCTGCTCCCAGGCCGAACGGCAGATTGAAGAAGAGACCCGCGAGAGAGAGTGGGAGCGAGAGGTGTTGGGCATAAAACGAGACAAGAGCGACAGTCCTGCCATCCAGCTACGCCTCAAGGAGCCCAGTGAGTGCTTGGCTACAGAGGGTGTGCCGGGCTGGGCTCAGGGCCAGCTTAGAGTCAGGAGTACTGCTTTCCTCCAGATATTTATCGATTTACTTATTTATTTGAAAGGCAGAGTGATAGAGAGGGAGAGACAGAGGGAGATCTTGGCATTCACTGGTTCACTTCCGTATGGCCACGTGGCAGGGGCTGGGCCAGGCCGAAGCCAGGAGCCAAGGGCTCCATTCAGATCTCATGTTGGTAGCAGGGGCCCAAGCACTTGGGCCATCTTCACCGCCTTCCAGATGCATGAGCAGGGAGCTGGAGCAGAAGCAGAACAACAGGGAGCTGGGACGTCACTGTCCTGTGGGTGCCAGCACCGCAAGTGTCGGCTTGACCTGCTGCACCGCTATACCGGCCTGAAGATCGCTTTCTTCTTTCTCTCTCTTTTAAGATTGATTTATTTATTCAAAAGGTAGAGTTACAGAGAGGAAGAGAGGGAGGGAGGTCTTCCCTCTGCTGGTTCACTCCTTAAATGGCCACAATGCCTGGAGCTGGGACCATCAAAGGCCAAGAGCCAGGAGCTTCATTTGGGTCTCCCATGTGGGTGCAGGGCCCCAAGCACTTGGGCCAACTTCCACTGCTTTCCCAGGCCACAGCAGGGAGCTGGATCGGAAGTGGAGCAGCTGGGATTCGAACTGGCGCCCATATGGGATGCTGGCACTGCAGGCGGTGGCTTTGCCTGCTATGCCACAGTGCTGGCCCCAGATTGGATTCTTGTATGCATAGAGCACAGAACTTAGACTTAGATTTGAATTATGATCCAGATCCCAGCTCTCCAGTTTCCTGTGACTTCACTTAAACTCCATGAACCTGTTTACAGGGTTGCTGAGAAAACTAGTAAAGACATATGCAAAATACCCTTGCAGTGGTTGGATCGTGGACACTAGGTTGACGGTGGGTTCTGTGGGCTTCAGAGAAGGGAGTCAGTTGCCGTTAGTTTCCCAAATGGTAGCACTCTGGTTACTGGAGGAGACCAGGAGGGCGGGGTTGGCTCCACTCTGCTTGTTCATGCCTCAGACAGGTGGAGTTCCCACACCCAGGACTGAGCGTCGAGGGTCTGTTGGCTCATGACTGTTCAGTAGAAATAGTTTCTGCAAAGGAGGCTGGCGCTCAAGAGATGGTGTGAGACACAGCAGGAGAGGAGAGAGACGCCAGGCGAGGGCAGACGGGGAAGGGCGGGGAAGCCAGCCTAGGCGCCAAGTCATCTGTGCCACCTGCTTCCAGCTCAGAAATCGGGCGCTCGAGCTGCGAGCCAAAAGCTTTTTCGTAAGCGCTTCCCTCTGGGCACTTGAGGAGATAGCCAGTGTGAGGAGCTGATTCTTTTCCTTGCTTCCATCCTGCCTTCTTTCTTTTCCTTCTTCGAGAGGTAGAGTGAGCTCTCATCAGGGGTTCGGTCCTCAGATGCCTGCAGCGGCCAGGACCACGCCAGGCCGAAGCCGAGAGCCCGTCTCTTGGAGCCGTCTCCACTGCTCCCAGGGAGCTCAAATCTGGAAGCAGAGCTGGGAGTCCAACCCGGGCCCTCAGATGGGGCATGCACATGTAGTCGTTAGCGTCACCCTACGAAACCAGCTGCTGTGCACTTTATTTTCTTTAAACATTGCTGATTTAGAAGCTATGTGTGGCCCTGGTTTCCTGCTGATTAGCTTATGACACTGGCAGTTAATTTTAAAAGCCTTTCTCTGGATTGTCCTACCTGGAAAGAGACAAATTTTGGACCCAACTCAGGTGATTTCCGGCTGCATGGGTGGGAAGTAGAGTGCAGTATTCCTGGCTCCACATGGTTTGAAGCTTCCATGGTTTGGTTTGGTGCCGATGCCTGCCCTGGTGTGGGTGGCTCTGTGCTTTGGTCTCGTGGCACAGCAACACATCTCAGGGGCTGTGCTGCACTCCAGCAGTGAAACTGGAGCCCTGGTTTATTCCGTGTGGGTGGGCACTCTTCTGTTGTGCCTGTCCTCAGGGACCCTGTCAGCCTGCAGGCAGGTGGAGACGGGCAGTTTCTGCCCTGCACAGACAGGCAGCGAATCTTGAATTCTGCCTATACTTTGAATCAACCCTGTATTGAGTGCAGCATGTGCACAGGAAAGCGTACAAATGAAGTTGTACAGTTCAGTGACTTAGTACATGGTAGACACAGTCCTACACAAGAAAGAGGTCAAAAGCCAGCGCCGGGGCTCACTAGGCTAATCCTCCGCCTAGCGTCGCCGGCACACCAGGTTCTAGTCCCGGTCGGGGCACCGGATTCTATCCCAGTTGCCCCTCTTCCAGTCCAGCTCTCTGCTGTGGCCCGGGAGTGCAGTGGAGGATGGCCCAAGTGCTTGGGCCCTGCACCCCATGGGAGACCAGGAGAAGCACCTGGCTCCTGCCATTGGATCAGCGCGTTGCGCCAGCTGCGGCGGCCATTGGAGGGTGAACCAACGGCAAAAGGAAGACCTTTCTCTCTCTCTCTCTCTCACTGTCCACTCTGCTTGTAAAAAAAAAAAAAAGAGAGAGAGAGAGGTCAAGGGGCAGGCGTTGTGCAGCAGGTTAGGCTGCCGCTCGCGCCTGCATCCCGTATCAGAGGTCTGATTCACGTCACGGCCACTCCGGACTTCCAGTCCAGCTTCCTGCTAATCCGTCCTGGGAGGGAGCCGCTGCTCACTCAAGTACCTGAGTCCCTGCCACCCACCTGGGAGACCCAGGGTGGAGTTCGTGGCTCCTGGTTTTGTCCTGGCCAACCAGTAGCTGTTATGGTCATTTAGGTTGTGAATCAATGGGTACAAGACTTCTCTCCCTCTCTCACTTGGCCTTTCACATAAATATGTAAATCCTTCTCTACAAAAATCAAGAAACCACATAACTAATGCCCAGATCACCTTCTTGTGTCACTGTCCTGATTTCTAATACTGGAAATTGGCTCTGCCTCATGTTGAACTTGAAGTGAACGAGTCTGGGTCTGATTCCCTGTAGCAGGACTGCCCGGCCACCGCGCCCCCTGCTGGCTGAACGTGGATGAGCCCTGCCGCAGCGGGGGTTGGAGTGACGGATGGCAGCAGTGTGGGGAAAGCATTCTAGACAGAAGGACTTTGACAAATGCAGAGCGCTTCATTATTCATAGGGCACTTAATTGCGCTCCTATTTTCCTGTTCCCGGGAGGTTCCCTGCTGCTAGGGCCGGGCTGTCTGCCTTTGTTCACTTGCGCTTGCCCTGCCATGGGACAGCTTTGTGAGTGAGTGGCCCGTGTGCGTGCTGTGTGCAGTGGGGGGAGCCGGGGTCTCTGGAAGGACCTCTTCCCGGGACGTTTAGCTGTGCCGTTGAGTGGAGCCTGGTCAGTGAGGCGTCTCCGGCGTGGCCCTGGGCAAGCCACAGTCGCTCTTCTCTGATTTCAGCACTGGTGGTGGTGGCCACCTGTCGGGGATCGTCTCTGACCGCAGGGGGCCGTGCGCGTAGGTTGTGAGTCCCTAGTGTTTGAATGCCGCTCAGGCCAGCTGTGAGATGGCCCTGTCCTCTGTGCCCAGCGCGCTCTCAGTGGGGCGAGGCCTCACCTGTCCCCTCTCTCTCACAGTGGATGTTGACGTAGAGGATTATTACCCGGCGTTCCTGGACATGGTGCGGAGCCTGCTGGACGGCAACATAGACGCGTCGCAGTATGAAGACTCGCTGCGGGAGATGTTCACCATCCACGCCTACATCGCCTTCACCATGGACAAGCTGATCCAGAGCATTGTGCGACAGGTGAGACCCAACGGGGGGAAGGCCTGCCCACAGGGGCCGCCACCAGTATCTGCCAGCCTCGCTCGCTGCCTGCGGTTCGTGGTTGGGTCAGTGTTGGGTCATGGTGTGCCTGTGGCACGCTGGGGTTGTCCGGACGTCCTGCTTGACAGCAGTGCTGTGTAGCGAAGAGCCTGCAGCGGAGCCGAGGGTCTGCTCCTTGGTCTTGAGCCCTGAAGCGATGTGTGCTGGTTGTAAAGGGAGACGCTCAGGCAGGGTCCGGGCCTGGCGCCTGCACTGCCTCTGTGCAAGGACACCTGCCTCTGCGCCCGGTCACAGCGACTGCTCGGGATCTGCAGGCGCCCTTGTCGGGACTGACTCTTGGGGGAGGTTGTCAAGCAGGCTCCTCGTGAGGGGTCTGCGGGGTAACGGGCCGTGGTCATGTGGACACATTTGCTTGAGGAGGCAGCCTTGTGAGGCCACCACGTATGTGAAGTCCTGCCCCGAGTGTCTGCGCCCAGGCTTGCCAAGCACTCCCCCACCCAGCACAGCTGACCTCTTACAAGGATCAGGCCATCTGCCAGAAGCGTCTGGTTATGATTTGAGTCAATAATACTTTCTCAGTCCATTCTTTATGGAAGAGGTTTTACCCAGAAAACCCCAAATCAGCATTTTTTGAAATCTGTGTTCACGAAGCCTCTATCTTAATCCCTCAGTTGGAGGCATCTCTTCTCTGGTTGCTCTCTGGTGTCCCCTGGAGGTCATTGCTGACATTGCAAGGCCGAGCCATACATTTACTGTGCCTCCTCAACACTGGTAGAAGAGGGACTTGTTTAAGAGGATAGCAGGCAAGGGACAGCGGTACAGTGCAGTAAGGTTAAGCCGCTGCCTGCAACACTGCCATCTGTCACTGAAGTGCCGGTTTGAGTCCCAGCTGCTCCACTTCTGACCTGGGCTCCCTGCTAATGTGCCTGGGAAGGCAGTGGAAGACGGACCCGGTGCTTGGACCTCCGCAGCCATGCAGGAGACCCATGTGGAGCTCCTGACCCCTGGTTTTCGCCTGGCCCAGACACAGCTACTGCAGACATTTGGGGAGTGAATGAGTGGATGGAAGACCTCTCCCTCCCAATCTTTCTCTGTCCTTCTGCCTTTCAGATAAATAAATAAGTTTTTAATAGCCACAGTAGGCTCTCTCCCGGGGAGCTAAGCACAGAACTTGAAGAGTGTGGCCCTGCTGTGTGGGGACGAGGAGGGGCGTGTTTCTCTCCTGCAGGCCTTCATTCTAACGCCACTTCTGAGGCTCCTCTCTACGGAATCCGTGGGACACCTCCGTCTCATCCCCTGGAGTGTGCCTGAGCCACGTGGGGTGGGAATGGCCCCGGCGGCTCTGGCTCTGCAGGGCGGCCCTCGGCAAGGACCTGAGGGCCGGAGTGTGAAGTCCAGCTGGCGTCCACGTGGCTCAGCGTGTCGTGGACGTGGTTTCCCTCACTCTGCTCCTTCCTCGTGCACGCCTCCTAAGCTTTTCTTGTTACAGCCATCATAAGATGCATCACAGCCCGTTATCGGGACGGGCTGAATTTGCTGGAGGTACTGTGCTTTCTGCCACGGCCCTGTGTCCAGTTACCTATAAATACACAGACTTGTCATTGAAGACTTGAATGTTAAAAATAAGTAGTCGTCATAGTTACTAGCACTTGAAAAAGAATGTATCTACCTAAAAATAGAATGGTTTAGTGGTTATGAGAATTTTATTTTTAGATTTTTTTAATATTTATTTTGACAGAGGAGAGACAGATCCTCTGATCAGCGGTTCACTCCCCAGATGGGTGCAAGGGAAGCACTGAGCCAGGCCAGAGCTGGGAGCCAGGAGCGTCCCCCATGTCCCGTGTGGGTGCAGGGGCTGTTTCTGCAGCTTTCCCATTGGCAGGGAGCTGGATCAGAAGTGGAGCAGCTGCGACTCGGTCTGTCACCCAACTGGGATGCCTCTCTTGCAGGCGGTAGCATTATCTGCCACCCTGTCAGCCCTGGCGATGAAAATGTTAGAGTAAAGTAGACAAATTGATATTGGAATTAATCTTTTGCTTTCTTTTGCATCTTTTTTCACATTCTCTGACATTTTGATGCCATCTTTTGATGTGTAGTTTGATGTAGTTCCAAATAGAAATAGCACGTGATCTGTGAGAAATCTTTCCAGGCATTAGTTTAGTCGGATTGTCACAAAAGTTACCAGTAGTCCATCATGAGCCACATCAGGTGCTACATTTTGTGTTGAACCTAGACAAGTAGCTGTTGTGTTGGCCTGGACGTCAGGGAGCTGGGCTGCTTCTGTTAAGCCCCTGGACGCCTGTGGACCTTGGCCTTCGTGCGAGGCTGAGAAGCGCGGTTGCCTTGGTTCTCCGGGAGGCTTCCCTCACCCCGGCTTCCGAGGGAGGGCACCTGGCTCCTCCTGCTTCCCGCCTCTGGGGGAGCGAGAATGTGCATGAAAGCAAATTGTAGTGATGACGAGGAGCCCTAGACATGTGAGCCATGGGAATTCTCAGAAGAGCGAGCAGCACATCAACCTGAGTTGCCTCAGGTCTTGCTTCTAAAGAGATGGGAGCATCTTGCTCCTGGCCCTCTGGTACGCTTGCTTCTTCTCCGTGGTGTTGTAAGGGCAGCTTCCTGAAATTGGCAGCCAGAAGTCTCCTTTGGAATGCAGTGACCGCGTGCGTGTGTTCACGGCCCCTGCCTTGGCTTCCTTGCAGCTGCAGCACATCGTGAGTGATGAGATCTGTGTGCAGGTGACCGACCTCTACCTGGCAGAAAACAGCAACGGGGCCACCGGAGGCCAGCTCAGCACCCAGACGGCCAGGAGCCTGCTGGAGTCGACGTATCAGCGCAAGGCCGAGCAGCTCATGTCAGATGAGAACTGTTTCAAGGTGAGTTTCTCGTCCAGTCAGGGGCCCTGCTGGTGACAGTAAGTCACCAGGACTCTGTTCCAGGAGTCCGAGCCAGGGTGCTTAGACCCCGGAACTCCTTTGAGTGCCTTGTGGACTTGTCAGAGGGAAAGGGGAGGTAACCATCTCTCTGGCCACCCGACTTATTTTCTTGCCTTTCAAGAAAAAAAAAACTGTGATAAATGGCTTTGCAATTTTGTGTTTTGCTTTTTCTCTGTTTTTTCCTGTTATGATTTGTAAATATTATAGAAAAAATGTTTGCATGAGAAATCTGTGGTCATTTTACGATAGAAAACACAGTGAAAAAGCAGCTGCCCATACTTCTCAGAAGTCGTTAGCGCCTGGAGGTGGCGTAGCGGCACAGCAGGTTAAGCAGCTGTGGCGACGCTGGCGTCCCGTGTGGGAGTGCTGGTTGAAACCCCGCTACTCTACACTTGTGTCCAGCCTCCTGCTAAGGCACCGAGGACGCAGCAGAAGATGGCCCACGTGGTCGCCCTGCCCCTCACATGGGACACGAGTACCAAGTTCTTGGCTCCTGGCTCCCTCCTGCCTTAGACCTGACTGTTACAGCTGTTTAGGGAGTGACCTGCAGCACAGAAGATCTCCATGTCTTGTCTTTCTCCTTCTGTGCCTTTCAAATAAATCTTTTAAAAAAAATCACCGATAACGTATCTGAGCTTGAATATACTTTGAAAGAGATTATGTCTAATGATATGTCCTGAACCTCCTTTTTCACAGGTAGCACCCAAGATTCACTGCTGAGATGCCCACAGTGCCCAGGCCAGAGCCCAGAGCCAGGGCTCCTGTGTGCGGGCAGAGACCCGGTTCCCCAAACAGCCTGCTGCCTCCCAGGGCCTGACTGCACTGGCAGGAAGCTGGAGTGCGGGGCTGGAGGCTGGTCTCAGACCGGAAGTGGTTGCAATTTGAGGTTGTTGCTGGCTTTTCACCATTATAATGGCTGATCGAAACAGTATAAGGTTGGAAAAACCAAAATCCGGATCTGCCACCCGCTCGGGGACTGCCTAGTGGCCGCCTGTTGTGAATGCTGAGTGGCATATCTTATGCCGTTCTTAAAAATTGTGAGGTTTTAAAGTGCAGGATTTCCCCCTTGAATCTGTTTTGGAATAACTGTGTTTTGAAATTCACAAACAGGAGTTTGTGAAGCATTTTTTTTAGGCTTATTTTATTTATTTGAAAGGCGGGGTTACAAACCTGGGCCATCTTCCACTGTTTTCCCAGGTGAATTAGCAGGGAGCTGGCTAGGAAGTGAAGCAGCTGGACTCCAGCCAGTGCCCACACGGCTGCTGGCGTCACAGCTGGCAGCTTCGCCTGGTCTGCCTGTGACCCAGCCCTGACCTTGAATCCTGTGTGCTCCCTGAGCAGTGATGCGGCCTTGAGCAAGCAGGGTGTTCTGGTTCTGGTTCTCCTTAAGAGGGCTGACGTAAACGAGACTCCGCTTCCTTCCACTCTGACCTCCCTGAGGTTCTGAGCCCGGGGTTGAGAACACTGAGAATCCAGGGTTCTCAAAGGGGAGCCCAGTGTGCCATCGTCACCACTGAGAGTTTTAGCTCAGAACATGGCTTGTGTTTGCTTAAGTCAGTATGTTGTTTGTAAATACGATTTTTTAAATTTTTTGACTGATCTATTCATTTGAAAGGCAGACCGCTTAGTTCAGTGGTTCATTTCTCAGGTGCTCAGTGATAGCCAAGGATGGGTCGTGCTGAGTCTAGGAGCCTGGAACTCAGTTCAGGTCTGCTCCGTGGGCAGCAGAGGCCCAGCTGCGTGGGCCATCACCTGCTGCCTCCCAGGGTGCACATCAATAGGAACCTGGGGCCAGCTCTCTGCTGTGGCCAGGGAGTGCAGTGGAGGATGGCTCAAGTACTTGGGCCCTGCACGCCATGGGAGACCAGGATAAGTACCTGGCTCCTGCCATCGGATCAGTACGGTGCGCCGGCTGCAGCGCACCAGCCGCGGCGGCCATTGGAGGGTGAACCAACGGCAAAGGAGGACCTTTCTGTCTCTCTCACTGTCCACTCTGCCTGTCCAAAAAAAAAAGGAACCTGGAATTGGTAGTAAAGTCCAGACTTGAACCCAGGCCCTCGGATACAGGAGGCAGGCATCCCAAGACATGTCTTCACTACACCAAATGTCCACCTCTTAAATAGGAATCTTTTTTGTAAAGTAAGCTTTTGGGGGCCGGCCAGCATCCCATATGAGCACTGGTTCCAGTCCTGGCTACTCCTCCTCCAATCCAGCTCCCTGTTATGGCCTGGGAAAGCAGTAGAAGATGGCCCAAGTCCCATGTGGGAGATCTGGAAGAAGCTCCTGGCTCCTGGCTTTGGCCAGGCCCAGCCCTGGCTGTTAGGGCCATTTAGGGAGTGAACCAGCCGACGGAAGATTTTTCTCTCTCTCCCTCTCTCTGTAACCCTGAGTTTCAAATAAATAAAATAAATGAATCTTTAAAAAAATTTTTTTCCATATGTTAAAGATTTATTTATTTGAAAGAGAGAGAAAATCTTCCAGCCATTAGTTCAAATGGCCACAGCTGGGGCAGGCTGAAGCCAGGCGCTCCATTCAGGGCTCCTGCATGGGTGGCGTGGGCCATCATCGGAGGTACACAGTAATAATTATAGAACTTTGAATTTCTTTTAAACAAAGAAAGATTATTTATTTGAAAGACAGAGTTACGGAGATAGAGGGAGAGACACCAATTTATTTATTTATTTATTTTTTTTGGACAGGTAGAGTTCTAGACAGAGACAAAGGTCTTCCTTCTGTTGGTTCACTCTCCAAGTGGCTACTACAGCCAGCGCTGTGCTGATCCGAAGCCAGGTGCTTCTCCTGGTCTCCCATGCGGGTGCAGGGCCCAAGCACCTGGGCTGCCCTCCCAGGCCACAGCAGAGAGCTGGACTGGAAGAGGAACGACCGGGACTAGAACCCAGCGCCTATATGGGATGCCGGTGCTGCAAGGCAGAGGATTAACCTAGTGTGCCAAGGCGCCGGCCGAGATACAGATTTTTACATCAGCTGGTTCCTTCCCAAATGGCCACAACAGCCAGAGCTAAAACCAGAAACTTGGAACTCCATCCAGGTGTGCCATGTGGGTGCAGGGGCCTAAGCGGTTGGGCCGTCTTTGCTTTCCCAGGCTCATTAGCAAGGAGTGGCAGCGAACGTAGGAAAGTTGGGATTCCTGCTGGCTCCCATGTGGGATATAGTAGCCTGACCCGCAGTTTCACACCACCAGCCCCAGAACCTAGAACTTTGAAAACTTAGAATGCAGATGGTCCATTAAGGGCGCGCTGTTGGAGTTCACTTGTTCTGTCCCTGTCCTCAGGCGCGCTCAGCTCCTGTGGTTCCACCACCTGTGAATGCGGTTGGCAGTCTGCCCTGTGTCTGCCGTTTCCACTTAGCTGTGGTGTGAAGTCTCCTTTCCTGTTGCTGCTGACCTGGGGAGCGGGGGCAGGGAACACTGCAGACGTGTTCATGTCTCCTAGCAAGCCCCAGCTAGAGTGGGTTATGGGCTGAAAAGGCGTCGCATTCGTATTTATGGTTTTGGTTACATGTGCCTGATTTTTGAAATTTACTTATTTGAAAGGCAGAGAAAGAGAGACAGAGGGAGAGAGAGATCTTCCATCCACTGGTTCACTCCCCAAATGGCTACAACGGCCGGGCTAGGCCAGGCCGAAGCCAGCAGACAGGAGCCTCCTCCAGGTCTCCCACACGGGTGCAGGGGCCCAAGCGCTTGAGCCGTCACACGCTGCTTTCTCAGGCTATTTACAGGGAGCTGGATCGTAAGTAGAGCAGCCGGGACTCAAAACCGATGCCCACATGGGATGCCGGCCCCTGCCTGATTATAACAAAATGCTTTTTTGAAATGCTCTCTCTGTCATTGATAATTTTAGCTAATTCAAGAAGTATGAAACATGAAGTGGCACTTTTTGCTCTAACGACGTGCCTTTGGAGATGGCCTCCTGACGCTCGGGTTTCTCGTTTGCAGCTCATGTTCGTCCAGAGCCAAGGCCAGGTCCAGCTGACTATCGAGCTTCTGGACACAGAGGAGGAGAACTCGGATGACCCTGTGGAGGCAGAGGTACGGGCAGGGGCGCGCGCAGCGGGCCGCCCCTCGGGCTGGGGGCTGAGGCCTGGCTGCCGCGTCAGGTCACTTGAGTCCTCACTGCGCGGAGAGCGGGGCCGCCTTGGGCGTTGCTCGTGGGTTGCGGGCAGTCTCGTCTTGCACTCAACAAATCCGTTTCCTCGGAAGAAACACGGTTGGCGGCTTTCCCGCGATTTCCTAAAGTACAAGAAACAACGGGAGTGCCGTCTTCCTGGCGCCGCCTTGATTGCCGTGTCACGCTGACTCTTCAGTGGGCTGCCTGAGGGCTGGGGAGCGTGTTTTCTGCCCAGGGCCATTTGGATGTTGAAGACACCATTTGTGGGCCATTACAAATTACCAACTTAAAGTTAGCCTGCCATTGACTTAGTGAGTTTTGAGTCTGGCCTGTGGTTGCTTTGGCAGGGCCAGAACAAATGATCTTGTCGCCCCACCCCTGGGCTAGACAAACCCAGAAAGCAACAGCCCGCAGCGCAGAGCTGTGCATATCCTAGGTGGGTGGCAGGCACTGCGGGTGGGAGGTGAGTTGGGGCAGGCAGGTCTGCTCTGTGGCAGTACTGGCACTGCGGGTGGGAGGTGAGTTGGCGTAGGCAGGTCCGCCTGTGGCAGTACTGGCACTGCGGGTGGGAGGTGAGTTGGGGCAGGCAGGTCCTCCTGTGGCAGTACTGGCACTGCGGGTGGGAGGTGAGTTGGGGCAGGCAGGTCCTCCTGTGGCAGTACTGGCACTGCGGGTGGGAGGTGAGTTGGGGCAGGCAGGTCTGCTCTGTGGCAGTACTGGCACTGCGGGTGGGAAGTGAGGTTGGGGCAGGCAGGTCCGCCTGTGGCAGTACTGGCACTGCGGGTGGGAGGTGAGTTAGGGCAGGCAGGTCCGCCTGTGGCAGCACTGGCTGTGGCTGCCAGATCTTTGCATTTCTTTTCAAAAGATGCTGGGAACCCAGCTTCAGACGTTGGGCTGTGTGCATGTTGTTCTTCAAGGAAACGCTCTGGGGAAGTAGAACGTCTCATCGCAAACTTGTACCCATTTATGCCTTCTGATACCTGAAGCCCCTGAGAACCTGGCCGTGGTGCTGGCCAACGAGGTTTCATCTGTCGGCCGCACTGAGGAATGCGCGTGCCGTTACGGAAGGGGCTTCGTCATCAGGGATCAGGGTGTGCCTTTGTGACCCGCCTCCTGCATTCTGTGTTTACCACCTAGCGCTGGTCGGACTACGTGGAGCGATACATGAACTCCGACACCACCTCTCCTGAGCTCCGCGAGCACCTGGCCCAGAAGCCCGTGTTTCTCCCGAGGTGAGTGAGCCGGTCGCCCAGCAGCGCCTGTGCCTGCCTGGAGCAGGTGTCCCGGTCTGCACAGGTCACACTTGCCGCTGTAGTTGTCACAGCCAAAGGACAGAAAGCAGCACCGGCGAAGGGGGATGCACAGGGCGATGGTGCCTCTGGCAGGGGCACAGGGGGCAGGGGGACAGGCGCAAGCTGCCAAGCGTTCTCTCCCGGGATGCCCACTGGAGACTCCCTGCCAGGGCTCTCACGGCTGCTTGGCCTGCGGGCGTCCTGTGCCTAGTGGGAGCCACGTGCCGGGCCACAAGGAAGGAGCTTCGACAGAGCTCACGGAGTTTGGGTGTAATGAGCCACGTTCATCACTTTCTAAACTAGAAACCCCCAAGGCCAGGCTTGTAAGCAGGCCATGCGAAGGTCAGCAGCCGCAGAGCGGGCGTGCGCCTGCTCCTGAGTGCACGCCAAGGTTCAGCCGCGCGACTTGGGCAGCGTGGAGTTTGGAATGGACCTCTCGTGTCTTCCGTTTCCATGAGGGAACGAGCCCAGCAGTATTGTAGTCCTCACGAGTAAAGACCGGGGCTGGCAGAAAGGGCCCTGCGGGGCCTCTCCACGAGGCGGGCACCATCTCCCTCCATGCTTCCACAGGGCGCAGTGCGCACAGCCTGCGTCTGTCTCAGCAGATGGCAGGGGTTATGTTTTTATTTTCTTTAAAGATTGACTTATTTGAAAGGCAGAGTTACAGAGAGGCAGAGGCAGGGAGAGAGATCTTCCATCCCCTGGTTCACTCCCCAGATGGCCAGAACAGCCGGAGCTGAGCCAGTCCGAAGCCAGGAGCTTTTTCCAGGTCTCCCACATGGGTGCAGGAGCCCAAGGACTTGGGCCATCCTCCACTGTCCTCCCAGGCCACAGCAGAGAGCTGGCCTGGAAGAGGGGCAGCTGGGAATCACACTAGCGCCCATATGGGATGCTGGCTTTAGATCGGCGCAGCTCCATTGCGGCCATTTGGGGAGTTAACCAGAGGATGGAAGATTCTCTCTCTCTCTCTCTCTCTCTCTCTCTAACTCTGTCTTTCAAATAAATTAAATCTTTTTTAAAAAAGAGACTTGTGGCTGGCACCGCAGCTTACTAGGCTAATCCTCCACCTGCGGCGCCGGCACACCAGGTTCTAGTCCCAGACGGGGCGCCAGATTCTGTCCCGGTTGCCCCTCTTCCAGTCCAGCTCTCTGCTGTGGCCAGGGAGTGCAGTGGAGGATGGCCCAGGTGCTTGGGCCCTGCACCCCATGGGAGACCAGGAGAAGCACCTGGCTCCTGGCTTCGGATCAGCGCAGCACACCAGCAGTAGTGGCCATTTGGGGGGTGACCCAACGGAAGGAAGACCTTTCTCTCCATCTCTGTCTCTCACTGTCTAACTCTGCCTGTCAAAAAAAAGAGAGACTTGTGTGTGTTTTGGGGTGCGTTCCTCAGAGCAGTGAGGAGACATGGGTACGGTGAGATGGGAAGACCCTCGTGACATTAAGTAGGAAAGTGAGTAAAGTACATGGTGTGATCCTATTTTGTCCTAAAAACAAATCCCAAATCTGGATAATTACATGTGTCAGTTAGAAGAGCCTTGGATGCATCCAGTTAAGAGAATTTTGCGTCTGTTATTTTGGCATGAAGCAGGAGAATTTCTCCTCGGGTATATATCCAGCTCATGACAGGGTGCTTCAAGTAAATCCCAAGAGATGGACCCTCTTTCGTGCAACTCATTCAATGTTTAAAACTTTTTTTTTTTTTTTTTTTTAATTTTTTTGACAGGCGGACAGTGAGAGAGACAGAGAGAAAGGTCCTCCTTTTCTGTTGGTTCACCTCCCAAATGGCCACTACGGCCAGCGCACCGCGCTGATCCGATGGCAGGAGCCAGGTACTTATCCTGGTCTCCCATGGGGTGCAGGGCCCAAGTACTTGGGCCATCCTCCACTGCACTCCCGGGCCACAGCAGAGAGCTGGCCTGGAAGAGGAGCAACCGGGACAGAATCCGGTGCCCCGTCCGGGACTAGAACCCGGTGTGCCGGCGCCGCAAGGTGGAGGATTAGCCTAGTGAGCCGCGGCGCCAGCCTTCCATTCAGTTTCCTGTGACGAGCAGAGAGCTTGGGTGCCTGAGTCCTCGCCACCCTGTGAGAGCCCTGGAGGGAGTTGGAGTCGTTCGGCTTTAGTGGGGTCAAGGCCGGCCTTGGCTGTTGCTAGCATTCAAGGAATGAATCATCGGATTGTGTGTGTGTGTGTGTGTGTGTGTGTGTGTGTGTGTGTGTTGCCTTTCAAATAGATAAAAATGAATTAGTATGTGAAAAAAGAAATCCGAGCTGACCTGAGAGGCAGTGGTCCTCGTGCGCCCATTGCAGAGGCCTGGTGGTCCCCAGCTCCTGGCTCAGCTGTCTGCTGCGGGCCCCGAGAGCCTGTGCTGGCGGAGCAGGGGCTCCATCGGCCAAGGCAAGTGGGCGTTGGAGAATCGGGTAGGGTTAAGGAGTCCACTTTTTATTCTGTGTCTTTGCAGTTGTGATAACTCAGTGTGGGGCGTGCGGGGAGGGCCTGTGATGGTGGTGGGACTCCGGGACAGGTGCATGGCCCTCTGCTTTGCAGGAATCTGCGGCGGATCCGGAAGTGCCAGCGTGGCCGCGAGCAGCAGGAGAAGGAAGGGAAGGAGGGCGGCAGCAGGAAGCCGCTGGAGAGCGTGGACAGCCTGGACAAGCTGGAGTGCAGGTTCCAGCTGAACTCGTACAAGATGGTGTACGTCATCAAGTCGGAGGACTACATGTACCGCCGCACCGCCCTGCTGCGCGCCCACCAGGTGAGGCCGGCCCGCCTTCCTCCTCAGGGCCGGGCCTCAAACCCAGGGAACCGGCAGGGAAGCCCAGTGCAGTCCAGTAGGGCAGGAAGAGAGCTGGGGCCCCCGGGAAGCTGCTCCCCGCGGCTGCTCCCCGGCGGGGGGGCTCCGCCTGCTCTCCGCGCCCAGGGCTGAGGTGGGCGCTGCGCCCGCCGCCGTGAGGGCAGCCTGGGAGTCGGGGAAGTGTCCCCTTGAAGAAGAGCCGGGTACGCGAGGCTGGGAGGGAGGGGCAGCAGCGGCCTCCTCTCACCTCCAGGGCTGGGCCCTGCGTTCTGGGTGAGCTGTGCAGGGACGCCGCTGACAGGGCTGGCACAGCGGGCTGTGAGTCCGAGTGCACGTGGCGCCCGGGCTGCTGACCAGGATGGAGAGAGCACGGTGTGGCCTGGCTTTTTTTTTTTTTTAAAGAAATGGAGACTTTTGGTGTATCTGCTAATGGGAAGGGGTTATCAGGTCTGGGGGCCGAGTAGTCGTACTCAGCTGTTCAGGTGGGGTGTAGGCGGAGTGGTGTCAGGCACTCTGGCACTGAGGAGCTGCTGTGCTGTGCCCGCCCGTCTGGTACAGATTCCTGGGGTGCGGGGCCGGATAAAGCCAGTTTTGTCTTGGTGTCCCGTTAGGCCTTGCATGTGGGCGCAGGTGGGGACATAAGCTCCCACCGAAGCTGCTGTCTGGCGTGGGGACATGTGAGGGAGAGCGGGATCCAGCCCTTGGCCGTGGGGCCAGCGGCGGCTCTCGGGGTTCGGCTGCCGCATCCCGTGTCAGCCTGTTCGGTCCCCACAGTGCGCCTGGGAAGACGGCGTCGGACACCCGTGGGAGACTCAGATGGAGGCTTTGGCTCCCCTAGTGTCTGAATCACAGCCTCTCGTCTCCTCTCGGCTGCCTTAGGAAGAAAGCTAATCCTAGCATTTGGAAAGGTTTCTTTTGGTTTCCCCTCAATTTTTTCCCCTTTCCTGTTTCACAGTCCCATGAACGCGTAAGCAAACGGCTACATCAGAGGTTCCAGGCCTGGGTAGACAAATGGACCAAGGAGCATGTGCCCCGGGAGATGGCGGCCGAGACCAGCAGGTGGCTCATGGGCGAGGGGCTGGAGGGCCTGGTGCCCTGCACCACCACCTGTGACACAGAGACCCTGCACTTTGTGAGCATTAACAAGTACCGCGTCAAGTACGGCACCGGCTTCAAGGCCCCGTAACCGGAGGAGCGCGTGGGGGCGCTGCACGCAACACACCAGAAACCTGGAAGACGCCTTTCAGGCCCACGCAGGCCGCTCGTGCGGAGCCGCAGCTCTCCCCGCCCCCGAGGGAGGGAAGCTGGTGCCGGCACAGGGACAGGCGGCGTGCTCGCCCACACCAGCGGAGCCGACTCGTCTCCTGTGGCCTGACCGCGGCAGAGGGAGCCGAGGCTGCTCACGACTGGACTGGCGGCCGCGCGCTGACAGCAGACTGGGCAGGGGCTTGACGCTCAGATGGACTGTAGCTGCGATGGCCGCTGCGCCTCTTCCCTCCCCACAGAAGGAACAAAGACTGGACTTGATTTCTCCCCTCTGGTCACTTGAGCACATCTAAGATCACGCGTTAGGTTTTGTCCGAGACCTGCAGTTTGGTGTTGGGGTTGGTGGTTCTGGGAGCGGAGTCCCGGCGGGGCCCTGGCCGCCCGCCCGCCGCCCTGGGCCTCTCCAGCCCCGCGGAACTGTTCTGTGCCTGCTTCGCTACAGCCTCCCGGTGCCAGCCGCCAGCTTCTCTCACACACGATTTAACCTTGGCTTTTCTTTTTTTGTAAATAATGTACATACTGTCAATTTTTTATTAAAAGAAATATGCTTTGATGTGCTAGCATCAGTGCTCTAGCTTCCTGTGTACCATAGTCCTACGTGGCTGCAGATTTAGCACTACGAGCAGATGTACAAGACATTTATTACACTTTTTACCAAAGGGATTACATTGTAGTACTTTTGTGTAAAACTTGTCTTCCCCTTTGCCCAACCTCTTTTTTTCTTTTTTGTAAATAAATAAAGCTTGGTTCTTAAGGAATAAGCTCCCGGTCCCCTGTCCTCACCGGAGTTCACCTGTGGAGCGGGGATTTGGGCTGCAGCTCCCCAGGTCACTCAGGATTCTCCTGTCGCCCGCTCCTGCCCGCAGTGCGCCTGGAAGGTCAGAGCCTGGGACACAGGGCAGCCACGCCCCAGTCCTCGGGGCTTCTAGTCACAGTGGGAACCGGCGGTGTTTGAGTGTCTTTGTTTGCCCTTTTTTAAAATTTGAGAAATAAAAGTAATAATATGCTGGGTTCTTAAAAATATTGTTTATTTGAAGGCAGGGGTCTGAGTCCTCCATCCACTGGCTCATCCCCCAGCTGGGGGGACCATGTTAGGCTGATGAGACAGGGAGATGGGCTCCGTCTGTCACCCTGGTAGCAGATGTAGGGGGTCCTGAGTGTGGGCACTTGGCTGGCTGGGCCTGGCTCTTATTGCTTTCAAGTTAAAAACTGCTACCACCATCACCAAAACCACTTTTTTTTTTTGCTCCTGGACTTTGAGAGGCCGGGTAGAGGGCTGTTCCGCTCACAGGTGCCTCTAAGGGGAGGGTTTCAAGAGCCTGCCTTCGGGGAGGAGCTGCAGGGCACAGCCTGGCCTGGGGAGAGAGCCTCAAGGCTTCCTTGGCGGAGGTCATCTGCCCTCCAGAACCTGCTGCCCGGAGCGCCGCTCGGTGGTTTGCAGGCCTGCTCGGGGAGCCTGCCACCAGCGCGCCCCGAGGCCCGAGGGAGTTCAGCGGACGAGCTGAGCTCTGAGCTGGTGTCTGACATGGCAAGAGTTACCTTAAATCCTACTTCCTATTCTGCACTTGGTGTAACTGGAGGCTAACGCTGTGCATTTTCTCTGCCAGGAGGCAGGGCTGCCCCTGACTGCGAACCCTGCACCCCGGGGCTCCGCTGCACCCCGGGGCTCTGCAGGCCTGCCTCTCTGGGTGCTATGGCTCTGCCCGCCCTAGGCAGACCACCTCCCGCGGCCAAGCGACCTAGCCCTGAGGGCAGAGCCGCCCCCGCCCAGCCTCTGCCCCCAACTCTCCCTTCCCACGCCCCAGGATTTGCCCTGCAGCCCACCGACTGGGGCCCGGGCGCAGCATCCCGTGTGGCCGCAGGTTCGAGCCCCGGCTGCTTCGCTTCCCGGCCCAGCTCCCTGCAAATGCACCTGGGCAAGCCGCGGAGGATGCACCAGGTGCTTGGGCCCCTGCGCCCGCGTGGGAGACCCGGAAGAAGCTCCCGGCTCCAAGTCCCGAACGAGCCGCCGGTGTTCCCAGAAAAGCTGTCCGGGCCAGGAAGGCGCCCTTCGGGTGCCGGAACCTTCGGGTGCCGGAACCTTTGGTGCCAGGCCAGGGGCCGCTCCGGCGGCGCCTGCGGGCTTCCGGGGCGAGCAGCGGGCGCGCGGCCATGGCGGCGGCGCCGGCCTTCAAGCACTGGCGGACCACGCTGGAGCGGGTGGAAAAGTTCGTGTCGCCGCTGTACTTCACCGACTGTAACCTCCGCGGCAGGTGCGGGGCCGGGCCGGGGGCCGCAGGGCCGGGGGGAGGAGGGGGCCGCGCTCGGCCGCAGCGCGCGCCCACAGGCCCCTCTCGCCAGGCTCTTCGGGGACAGCTGCCCCGTGGCCGCGCTCTCCAGCTTCCTGACGCCGGAGAGGCTCTCCTACCCGGAGGCCGTGCAGCAGGCCTTCAGCCCCGCGCAGGTCGGCGACAGCTTCGGACCCACGTGGGTAACGCCTCCCTCCCTCGGGGCGGGGCCCGCGGAAGCCCCGCCCTGCCGCCCGCCCACCCGCCCACCTGGGACCCCCGCGTCTCGGTGGGGCGGGACCCGGGACCCCGCGTCTCGGTGGGGCTGGACCCGGGACCCCCGCGTCTCTGTGGGGCGGGACCCGGGACCCCGCGTCTCGGTGGGGCTGGACCCCGGGACCCCGCGTCTCGGTGGGGCTGGACCCCGGGACCCCGCGTCTCTGTGGGGCGGGACCCGGGACCCCCGCGTCTCTGTGGGGCTGGACCCCGGGACCCCGCGTCTCTGTGGGGCGGGACCCGGGACCCCCGCGTCTCGGTGGGGCTGGACCCCGGGATCCCCGCGTCTCGGTGGGGCTGGACCCCGGGACCCCGCGTCTCGGTGGGGCTGGACCCCGGGACCCCGCGTCTCTGTGGGGCTGGAACTCGGGACCCCCGCGTCTCGGTGGGGCTGGACCCCGGGACCCCGCGTCTCGGTGGGGCTGGACCCCGGGACCCCCGCGTCTCGGTGGGGCTGGACCCCGGGACCCCGCGTCTCGGTGGGACGGGACCCCGGGACCCCCGCGTCTCTGTGGGGCTGGAACTCGGGACCCCGCGTCTCGGTGGGGCTGGACCCCGGGACCCCGCGTCTCTGTGGGGCGGGACCCGGGACCCCCGCGTCTCTGTGGGGCTGGACCCCGGGACCCCGCGTCTCTGTGGGGCGGGACCCGGGACCCCCGCGTCTCGGTGGGGCTGGACCCCGGGATCCCCGCGTCTCGGTGGGGCTGGACCCCGGGACCCCGCGTCTCGGTGGGACGGGACCCCGGGACCCCCGCGTCTCGGTGGGGCTGGAACTCGGGACCCCGCGTCTCGGTGGGGCTGGACCCCGGGACCCCGCGTCTCTGTGGGGCGGGACCCGGGACCCCCGCGTCTCTGTGGGGCTGGACCCCGGGACCCCGCGTCTCTGTGGGGCGGGACCCGGGACCCCCGCGTCTCGGTGGGGCTGGACCCCGGGATCCCCGCGTCTCGGTGGGGCTGGACCCCGGGACCCCGCGTCTCGGTGGGGCTGGACCCCGGGACCCCGCGTCTCTGTGGGGCTGGACCCGGGACCCCCGCGTCTCGGTGGGGCTGGACCCCGGGACCCCGCGTCTCGGTGGGGCAGGACCCGGGACCCCCGCGTCTCGGTGGGGCGGAACTCGGGCCCCCGCGTCTCGGTGGGGCTGGACCCGGGACCCCCACGTCTCTGTGGGGCTGGACCCCGGGACCCCGCGTCTCGGTGGGGCTGGACCCGGGACCCCGCGTCTCGGTGGGGCTGGACCCCGGGACCCCGCGTCTCGGTGGGGCTGGAACTCGGGACCCCGCGTCTCGGTGGGGCTGGACCCCGGGACCCCGCGTCTCGGTGGGGCTGGACCCCGGGACCCCCGCGTCTCGGTGGGGCTGGAACTCGGGCCCCCGCGTCTCGGTGGGACAGGACCCGGGACCCCGCGTCTCCTGCCCGCCCGGGGGACCCACGGTTCCGCCTCCCTCACCTCGCTGCCCGCCCGCCGCTCCCCTCCACTGGGCGCTCCCGGCCGAGGACCCCGTGGTGCTGCAGAGGGTTGGGTGCACGTGACCTCCACGGGCCACACTCTCACCGGGGCTGCCTTGCAGGTGGTGGACGTGCTGGTTCCGCGTGGAGCTGGCCATCCCTGAGGCATGGGTGGGCCGGGAAGTTCACCTGTGCTGGGAGAGCGATGGAGAGGGCCTGGTGTGGCGCGATGGGGAGCCTGTCCAGGTGAGGAGCCCTGCCCCGCGGCCGGATGCGCCCGGTACCGCCCGGTTCCACCTGGCCACAGGAGTGCCAGCGACAGCCTGCAGGGTGGTGTCCCTGCCGCCTGCACTGGGAACGTGCTGTCCATCCCTGTGCAGTTTGGCCCCTAGTTCTCAATAAACTGGTTTTCTTTCTTTTTTTTTAAGAGATTTATTTGAAAGACAGAATAGGGGTCAGCACTGCGGCACAGCAGGTAAAGCTGCCACCTGCAGCACCGGCATCCCATATGGGCACCTGTTGAAGTCCCGGCTGCTCCACTTCCGATCCAGCTCTCTGCTGTGGCCTGGGAAAGCAGTGGAGGATGGCCCAAGTCCTTGGGCCCCTGCACACACGTGGGAGACCCGGAAGAAGCTCCTGGCTCCTGGCGGATCTGTGCAGCTCCAGCCCCTGGGGCCATCTGGGGGTGAACTAGCAGATGGAAGATCTCTCTCTCTCTCTCTCTCTCTGCCTTCTCTGTAGCTCTGCCTCTCAAATAAATCTTTAAAAAGAAAGAAAGGCAGGGTGCCGAGTGTGGGCGAGACGTCTACCTGCTGGTTCACTCTCCAGATCACTGCCTGGAACTCCATCCGGGTCTGCCACGCGGGCGCAGGGGCCCAAGCACTTGGGCATCCTCTGCTGCTTTCCCAGGCACAGCAGGGAGCTGGGTGGGAGGCGCAGTAGCCTGGGCAGGGTGCCCGCTTAGCCATGTGTAATACGTGCTGAAGGGAAATCACTCCAAATGGCTGTAGGTGACCGGAGGTAAAACAGTTGAAGCCATCGCCCTGCGTCTGGGCTGGACTGTGGTTCTTCCTGTCTTAGAAGGCAGAGCCAAGCCGGCGCCATGCTCACTAGGCTAATCCTCCGCCTTGCGGTGCCGGCACCCTGGGTTCTAGTCCCGGTCAGGGTGCCAGATTCTGTCCCGGTTGCCCCTCTTCCAGGCCAGCTCTCTGCTGTGGCCCGGGAGTGCAGTGGAGGATGGCCCAAGTACTTGGGCCCTGCACCCCATGGGAGACCAGGAGAAGCACCTGGCTCCTGCCATCAGATCAGCGCGGTGCGCCGGCCGCAGCGCAGCAGCCATTGGAGGGTGAACCAACGGCAAAAGGAAGACCTTTCTCTCTGTCTCTCTCTCTCACTGTCCACTCTGCCTGTCAAAAAAAAAAAAAAAAAAAAAAAAGCAGAGCCGGCCCCGCTCCCCGGCCCGCAGGCGTCTCCTGGCCTGCACTTGCCGAGCGCGGGCACACGGCAGGGAGACCTGTCCTGCCTTGCACGGAGCTTCCCTTCAGATGCGGGTTTTTAAAGATTGATTTGAAAGAGAGAAAGCGACAGAGAGATCTCCCCTCTGCTGGTTCACTTCCCAGACAGCCACAGCAGCTGGGGCTGGGCCAGGCCCAGGCCAGCAGCTTCTTGGTCTCCTGTGTGGGCGGAGGTGTCCAAGCTTGCCGGCCAGGCCACAGCGCCAGCCCCTCTCTTCAGCTAGTTTGTCGGGGCGGGAGCCACGGCCAGGCTGCCA